AGATGGGCAGGGATGCAACCCCATGCTCTGCTCACCAGAAGCTGGGAGTGGAGATCACTCAATGATTGTCCTGTTCAGTCCCCCTGAAGCACCTGGAACTGGCCACTGCCGGCAGGCAGGATCCTAGGCTGGATGGTCTGACTCAGTTTGTCCATCAACAGCACCACAGCATTCTGGCTGCCTCAGCAACTGACAGATGGGCTCAGATCTGAGGTTCATTTCGTCCTGTACCCTGCCAGTTACTGCAGAGAGAGGGGCAAGAACCTAGCAGTAACCAACGAGAGAATCTGCCCCCAGTGGTAGCTCATCCTACCTATTAATTTGCAAACTGGACACCATCAAATAAGGCCTGAATAAAGACTGGGAGTGGTTGGGTCATTACAAAACCTAAACCTAGTTTTCCCCTACGGTTACTCACATCTTCTTGTTAACTGTCTGAAAGGGGCCACTCTCATTACCACTTCAAAAGTTATTTTTCTTCCCTTGGTATCTTGCTAAGTGAATTGTCTCATTAGAAAAAAGAAAAGGAGTACTTGTGGCACCTTAGAGACGAACCAATTTAGCTGTAGCTCACCTGCTCAGGACCTGGAAAGAGAGGTCCAGGACATGCTGGCTTTCGGGGTGATCCAGCCATCGGCCAGCCCTTGGGCCTCGCCGGTGGTGCTGGTCCCCAAAAAGGACGGGTCAGTCTGGTTCTGTGTGGCCTATCGGAAGCTCAATGCCATCACTGTATCTGATGCCTACCCCATGCCCAGGCCTGATGAGCTCCTAGAGAAATTGGGAGGAGCTCGATACCTTACCACCAAGGATCTTATAAAGGGCTACTGGCAAGTGCCGCTGGATGCAGAGGCCTGGCTGAAATCGGCCTTTATCATCCCTCTGGGGCTTTATGAGTTCCTGACCCTGCCTTTCGGCCTCAAGGAAGTGCCAGCCACCTTCCAGTGCCTGGTGGATCAGCGCCACCAGTTGTCACGGAGTGTGGGGGAGTCCGGGCCCTGCACCCCTCTTCCTGGGATTCACTGTGACTCTCAGCCAGCCAGTAAAACGGAAGGTTTATTGGACAACAGGAACACAGTCCAAAACAGAGCTTGTGGGTACAACCAGGATCCCTCAGTCAAGTCCTTCTGGGGGGCAGGGAGCTTAGACCCCAGCCCTGGGGTTCCCTGTGTTCCTCCCCCCAGCCCCAAACTGAAACTACCCCGCCCCCCCCAGCAGGCTCCCTCCTGCAGCCTTTGTCCAGTTTCCCGGGCAGAGGTGTCACCTCCCCCTCCCGGCTCAGGTGACAGGCTCTCAGGTCTCCCATCCCCAGTGAAACTCCCCTGCCACATTCCCAGCTCAACACTCCCCCCTCCCTGCTGCATCACATCTCCCTGCTGCCACTCGCAGGCCTGGGCAGCTTTCCACGGTTTCCAGGAAGAACCCCGAGGGTGCCAGTCCTTCTTGAGGTCACCACCTCTTTGCCAGGGTCGAGCCGCAGCCTCCTCCGCCCCTGGGACCGCTCGCTGCAATCCCCCGGGGGACCCTGTTACTGCAAAAGTCCTTCTCTCTGGTCACACACTCCCAGGGGTTAACCATCCCCTGAAACCATCTCTCTCTGAATCTTCAGCACACCTGGTCCCTGTCAATCCAAAAGCTCATGCTCAAATAAATGGGTTAGTCTCTGAGGTGCCACCAGTCCTCCTTGTCTTTTTGCGACTATACTTTCCTTAAACTATCTAAAGGACCACTCTCCTCAATGGTCTGATAATCGGTGGGCATTTCTTACGCGAGCTGCCACAAAACCACACCCAAAAAAAATTGGTTTTCTAAAGCCCCACCCCCCCTCTTTTTTTTTGCGAATACAGACGAACACGGCTGCTCCTCTGAAACCTGACACTTGGTAAGGGAACTCCTGTCCTTTCATGTAATGATACCTGCTGCCGTATCTTCCACTCCAAGCATCTGATGAAGTGGGTTCAAGCCCACCAACGCTTATGCCCAAATAAATGTGTTAAGTCTCTAAGGTGCCACAAGGACTCCTCGTTGTTCATCCTACCAGAGCCTGCGTTAGCCCCTCAGTGCAGGTTTACCTTCCCCACTCTGGCTGCACTGGTGTTATAGCTCTGCTGACTCCTGTTATCCATACACATGGCCGGCCCCTCTTGGGCTCTCACTAAGTTCTGGGCCACAATGACATCCTGTGGCAATGAGTTCCGCTGGCTAATCACACTTTCTTTGGAAAAGTGTTACTATCACTTTTGAATTTGCCATCTTTCAATGTCATTGGAAGGCCTCCGCTTGTCATGTTCAGACAGGAGCTCCTAATTCACCTGCTCTAGACTTTCATCAGGGGCCCTCGTTTGTCTCCTTTCTAAGATTAACAATCCTAATCTTTTCATTCACTTCAGAAAAGAGTTTTCCAGAGCCCGGCTCAGTCATGTCACTGTTTGCTGCCCCTCCTCTGGGGCTGCCATGTCCTGCTGGAACTGGGCTGACCAGTACTGGGCACAGCAGCCAGCTACAGCGGGACAGCAAGTTACAGAGCAGCCTTGTACTTTCCAGATTAGTCTCCAGTCCATTCTTTACACAGCCTGATTTGTGGTTTTGCCCCCAGCGTCACATCGAGCAGGGGTCTCCACTGAGCTAGCAGCAGTTATGCCCAGGGTCCTTCTCTGAGCTGAGAGAAAACTTAGACCCCTGTAAGCCAGCTGAGCAGGTCCAATTTTTCCTTCCAAGCTGCATTATTTTCCTTTTTCAACATTAGATTGATTTTCCATCAACCATTCCCCAGGCCTGGTCAGGGCTCCCTGAAGTTCCTCAATCTTCTCTGAATAGTGTCATTGCAAATGTTGCTAGCTGTCTGTTCACCCCCTTTCCAGCTTGTGATAAATGAAGGCGGGGGAGCTCCCTTTTATGGACACCCACCCAGCCAGTAGCTATAAAATCCCTCTGAGTAGCTGTTCTCTAATTGCTCTACCTGTAAAGCGTTAAAACGTCTCACTGCCTTGCATAGGTGAAAGGAAGTGAGTGGGCACCTGGCCAAAAGAGCCAATGGGAAGGCCAGAACTTTTTAAAACTGAAACAAGACTCCCCTTTTGTCCGTCTGTGGTTGTTCTCCAGGGAAAGGCAAATAGAGCAGCTTTGCTGTGAGACGCTTGGGCTAAGTATGAAAAATCATCAGTATCATACCTAGAACCTACTCCTCTAAAACCCCAGCTATGCCAGTAGACCAGGAAACGTCCAGGAAGACGCGATGAGGTTTATCCCTTTTATTTCTTTATGGCTTGTGGATTCCTCGGGGCTAACCCCGGTGCTCTTGTTCTGCTTGTGACCTTTAAGCTGGACCTCAAGAGAGCTATTCTTGATGCTTAATCGTTGGAGGGTTTTGGGTTTTTTTTAAATCTAGCAAACGCCTGTTTCCAAACGTATTTTCTTTCTTTTGTAAAAAAATAAATTTTACCTTTTTTAACAACAAAACTGGATTTGTCTCTTAAGAGGTTGTGCACATGTTTTTAGTTAGCTGGTGGGGAAAAAAGGGGGGGTAGTTTTCTCAGCTCTTCCCCAGAGGGGGGGTGAAAGGGCTGGAGGGTACCCCACAGGAAGGAATTCTCAAATGTGCCTTCCTGGGTTCTCACAGGGGTTCTACACTTGGGTGGTGGCAGCATGAAAAGCTGTAACCTTGAGAGTTTAATACAAGCCTGGAGTGGCCAGTGTTAATTTTTAGAGTCCTTGAGGGCCCCACCTTCTGCACTCGAAGTGCCAGAGTGGGGAATCAGCCTTAACCCAGCCCATCAGCAAATCTAGGACACAAAACCCAACCTAGTCAGGAAGCTCCAGGCCCCACTTTTAACCTTTTGCTATAATGTGAATTGACCATCTCCCCTTGTTCTTGGCTGGCTGTCTCCTGGTCAGTCTTTGCTCCGTAACATCACTGAGCTCTCACTCCCTGAACACTTTGCTTCTTTACTAGCCTCTCTCGTGGGACTTTAGCAAAGGTCTCTGAAATCTAAATAATTACGTCAGCTGATTCTCCAACATGCACTAGTGTCACCACAGCCAAAAAATCCTCATAGATTAGCCAGAGTTTTCCTTTACAGAACCCCTGCTGGCTAGACCCTATCACAGCACGACCTACCCAGTATTCGATTATTAATCCTCATTCCAAATCCTTCGCTGGGCCCAGAGCTATGGGCTTACTGGTCAGCCATTCCCCATCCCCCTTGGAACCTGGCTGAAGTCTAGTACATTTGCTACCCTCCAGTCCTTGAGGTAGGAGCTGTTCTTACAGTGATTCCCTGGGTTTGGGAGCAGCAGCTCTGCTAATTCATGCTTACGCTCTCCAAATGGTTGGCTTGGACCCAGCCGCGGGGGCCTGGTGACTTATTGCATTTTAAACGATTAGTTTGTTCCGGCCTCTCTTTGTCCAACACCTCGCTCCCTTTGCTGCCAGGAAAGAGCAGGTGGGAGGGAGGTGTCTCCACCATCCTCAGGGGGGAAACTCACGCAAAGGAATCATTCAGCTTCTCAGCTACAGCCTCAGCCTGAATTGCTCCTTTTGCACTTGGGGAACTGGCAACCCCCTTCCCCCATTTTGCTGCTGCTGCCCAGCCAGACTTCTTGGTTTTACCCCTTTAGCAAACTGCTCTTCCCAGTCCCCTGGGGTCTTTCCCCTCCTCTGCTCCCTGGGGTAGCTGCTGCATGAAGGGCCGCTCTGAAAGCCTGGATTTGTTTGGCTCCAAGCCACTTCAAGGTGCCGCTGAGCCCTGGCTTTCCGGAGGCCCTGGTGGCAGACGCCCCCTGGGACTCAGCAGCGGGTGATTGTCCTCCCCTGCAGCATCTCATGCTCAGCAGAGGGTCTAGGTCCTGCCTGGCTCAGGCCAAGGCAGCAGGGAGGATGGGTGGCAATTTCCCCCAGGAAAGCAACAGAAACCTTCAGCAAAGCACTCGGGGAGGGACTCTGGAAGGAACATGGGCCCTGCCCCATGCTCTACAATAACCACAGGCTCCGGGGCAGCCGACACTTGCCGGAGACGTGTTTATTAAGGCACTAAAAGCACTGTGGCTACACCAAGCACTGCCCCACACAGGCAGGGCAGCTCTGGGCAAGGCGGCCAAGCTGCCAGCAAACTCACTTCCCAGGTCATGACCCGTCGATGCCTGTTTCGTAGAGGGCCCAGCTCCTTGCCCCGCAGCCCCACCAGTGAAGTAGCTAGCAGCTTCTGCAGGCAGGGTGAAGGGCTTCCTCTTCCAGACAGGTTTCAGCTTCCCCTCACCTCCCCGTTTGCAGAGTCCAGGTCAGTCCCACAGGGGCAGCAAGTCTGCCTCAGCCTGGGCCATGGTAGGCCTGGAGCTGGGAAAAGCCTTCACCGAGGGCACTGGATAGCCCAGGGGCAGAGACCCACCGCACCTCTCAGCACAGGCCCAGCATGGGGCTGTGGGGCCAGGATAGGCGTGTGGTCCAGGAAGGATAGCAGCTGTGTGGTAGCAGGGAACAAGGCCAGTAGTTTTCGCTGTGGCCATGTGGCTGGTGTGGACTAGCTCCTTCCAGGACAACCAAGAGCAGGCACCAAGCAGGCCTGGGCTCGGGGACTGTACTTGTGTCCTGCCCATGAAGCAAGGGCTCCCTGCACAATGAGCCTGGGGGCTTGCAGCAAGGCCAGGGAGATGCTGAGCCATGGCCCCTGGTAAGAGGGAAACAGAGCAACCCTGCAGGATTCTCTCATCCACACCACAGCTTCCAGCGAGCTAGCAGCCTAGCTAGGTGAGAGGCACCAGTCCCAGGCATGGGGCAGGGGGTGGGAAGGATAGATCCAGCTGGCACCCAGGCTGGTCACCTCTTAGGGTCAGAGCAGCCCTGCTCCAGCAAGCCTCTCCCACCTTTGGGCTCAGCATGGAATAGGTCTAGCCCCCAGGTGAGGTGCCTGGCTCAGCTGGTTGTGGGTACAGAAGGGAGGGGACAGGTGGCCCAGCTGAGACCACCAGAGGGGCAGGGGGCACATAATCCAGAGAGAAGACAGGCCATTGAGGGTCAAGAGAGCAGCAGGCTCAGCTTTGCCTATAAGGTAGGCCAGAGCAAGGTGCTGCCCAGGCCAGAGGTGGCAGAGAGAGGGGTGGCTCCAACCCCTTCTCCCTGGGGCCCCATGGAGCAAGAGAGAAGGGGCAGACAGAGATGCGTGCAGGGCCAACGTGTGCGGTGTGGCAGCTGGAGCCTCCCCTTACACATGGGAGAAGGCATGGCTCTTGCAGAGGGGTTTGTCCTTCTTTGAGTAGAACGTCTTCCCTTCCAGGCTGACCTGGCAGATCTGAGGAGAGAGCAGGCAGTCAACAGGGAAAGACCAGCTCTCCCTCTGCAACACCCCATCCACACCCTTTCCCCCCAAACCCCATTACACTGCCCATGCCTGGCACAGACCTGCCCAAGCACTCTAGGGGGCACAGGACACATGTGGTCAGAGGCCCAGGGCAGCCAGAGCTGCTCTCCAACACAGACCAGCTCAGCACAAGAGGCAGGTGCAGCCAATCCTGCTCACACCACCGCCAGTGAAGAGCCCTCCCTGGCAGGGGCTTAGGCCCTTATTGGCCAGGGCCAGCCCCACCGAGTCAGGGTGAGCAATAGCGAAGGGCTGCCCTGCTGATCTTACCGCACAGACAAAGCAGGTGTCATGCCAGCTGAACCCCAGTGCCTCCAGGAACCGGTCACCAGCATCAATCTTGAAGTCGCAGCCACGGCATTTTGTGCCGAACATCTTCTCGTAGTCTGGGGAGAGAGCGGGCTGAGATGGGGCTCCCCAGAGCACCCCCCTGGGAGAACTGGACAGGGACTGATGGGGCAGTCCTGAGATTGCTTTGCTGGGGGGGTGGGTGGGGGGGGGGAAGCATTTTTATTTGTGCCTGGCTCTAACTGGGGCCATGCTCAGTGGGTGGCCATCCCCTGCCCCATTGTAACAGCTCAGCCAGCGCCCCTCAGTCCCAACCCGTGGCCTCCTGCCAGCCTCCAGCCCTGGCTCTTTCCTGAGCCAGCCTCCAGCCCTGGCTCTTTCCTGAGCCAGCCTCCAGCCCTGAGACCAGGTTTGCTGAAGGGGCCCCGGGAGCCAGCAGCGCGTCCCCATGCGTGCTTCCCCTCGGTCTGCGTGTGCGGCTGCCCCCCGGCCCCGCTCGCTTTGCCAAGGGGATTTTGCTGCAGCTGCTGCCGAGGACTGGCACAGCCAACCCCATCTCCAAGAGCCCCTTGCCCCCCCAGGGGAATATTGCAGGAAAGCCAGTGTCTGCAGAATGGGGGACCCCCGTTTCCCAGGAGGCCGTGCAGCACTCTGCTTTGATGTAGGTACTGCACTGTCATCGCCATGGCAACCTGGGAGCTCCGGCACTGCCCAGCAACCATCTCGGAGGCCAGGCCAGCAGCAGAGGATGGGGGGTCCCTGTAGGGGGAAGGGTGCCCCCCACCTTTGCCAGGGCAGGACCCGCAGGGCATCTGGCAACGCTGGGGGCGGCCCAGGGGCTGGAGCAGTAGCTAGTGGCCACAGCTTCCTCTCCCTGCCCCACGCAGCTCTCAGCCCCACAGCGAGGCCACAGGGGGACAGGCTGCCGCAGAGCCCATGGGAGCAGGGGGCAGCCGCAGCATCCCGGGGGCGGGGAAGGGGCCAGGACACCCCCTACCTCTCTCGCAGTAGGGCTGCCCCTCCTCCATGTAGAAGGCGCGGTTGCGGATGGGAGTTCTGCAGGCGGCGCAGGTGAAGCACTGCACATGCCAGGTCATCTTCAGGGCGTGCATGATCTCCTGGGCAAGGGAACGCCACCCTCAGCTGAGCCGCCTCCGCCCCGGAGCCCCGCCCCCTGCCCCCGCCCCGCCTGCCAGCCCCAGCCCCGCCCCCTGCCATGCCCGCTGGCCCCGCCCCATGCCCCCTGCCATGCCTGCTGGCCCCGCCCCACCACCCACTGGCCCCGCCCCAGAGCCCCACCCCCTTCCCGCTGGCCCCGCCCCCTGCCCTGCCCACTGGCCCCGCCCTGGAACCCCACCCCATGCCCCCACCCAGCCTGCTAGCCACAGCCCCTGCCCCAGAGTCCCGCCCAGCCCATTAGCCCCGCCCCCCCACCCTAGAGCCCCACCCAGCCTGCTAGCCCCAGCCCAGAGCCCCGCTCCCTGCCCTGCCCACTGGCCCCACCCCACCACCCGCTGGCCCCACCCCAGAGCCCCGCCCCGTTACCCCGCCCAGCCTGCTAGCCCCAGCCAAGAGCCCCGCCCAGCCCACCAATCCCACCCCAGAGCCCCGCCCCCTGCCCAGCCTGCTAGCCCCAGCCCAGAGCCCCGGCCCCTGCCCTGCCCGCTGGCCCCAGCCCACCACCCACTGGCCCCACCCCAGAGCCCCACCCAGCCTGCCAGCCCCACCCTGCCCAGCCCGCTGGCCCTGCCCCACCACCCCCTGGCCCCGCCCCCTGCCCTGCCCAGCCCACCAATCCCACCCCAGAGCCCCACCCCCTGCCCCACCCAGCCCGCTGGCCCTGCCCCACCACCCACTGGCCCCGCCCAGCCTGCCGGCCAAGCCCCAGAGCCCCACCCCCTGGTCCGTCCCCCCCCCCCGCCGCCGGGGCCCTGAGGGGGGAGGGCTCCACCGCAGACACTCAGCAGCGACTCACCCCACCAATCTTCTTCTTGCACTTGGCACAGCTGGGAGCGTAGCGCGTGTCGTAGCACTTGGGGCAGAAGACCGAGCCCCCCTCCTCGAAGAAGCCCCCCTCATCCAGCCCCTTCCTGCACTGGCAGCATGCGAACTCCTCCGGGTGGTAGTAATGCCCCAGCGCCACCAGGTAGCGGCCCCTGGAGGCAGGGGAGGGGAGGAGTTAGCACGTGCATCTGCCGGACAGGAGCCAGCTGCCCCCCGCGGCCCGGCGGGTTCATTCCTCCCTCCCTCAGGAAGGGGGAGCTGCCGGGCCATCCCCAGGAGACCAGCAGCCCCGTGCATGGCAGAGATGGGGCTAGGCGGAGGGGCCCCACTCCACTCACCTGATGACCTTGTTGCACTGGTAGCAGATGGGGGTTTTGCTGCTGCCCTCGGGGGGCTGCTGCGCGGCCTGGACAATGGAGCTGCGGTTCTGCATGGGCGTGGGCATGGCCGGCTGGCTGTGCTTGCTCAGCACGGTGCTGGTCTTGTCGGGGGCATAGCGCTCAGCAAAGGAAGGATCCACAGCCCAGGGCGGGCGGCTGGCAGGGCCTGGAGCAGCTGGGGCCCTGGGGGCTGCAGAACCTGCAACAGGCCCCAGAGGGATTCTCAGGTGATAGAAACCCGCAGAGCCCTCAACAGCTGCACTCTGCTAGCCTGGGGCAGAGCCTGGAAACAGGCCCCCCAGCCCCGCGACCCCCCTTCATGCACCCTGCTGGGGCACCAAGGGCTCACTCTGCCCCACAGCTGGGAGAGATGGCGCCATGCTGTGCCCACCCCAGCACCCCCTGCTTACCGTGATCAGGCTCCACCTTCAGCACAGTCACCGAAGACAGGTCCAGCCCAGACACCTGGCTACAGAACAACTCATTAATGCAGCTGCCAGCTGGCCATCACCCACCCCTGCCCACAGGCAGGCCTGGATGGGGCAGGAGCCCAGGGCCTGGCTCCCTCCTACCCCAGCAGGGGCAAAGCCCCCGCTGCTCAGGCCAGGCACCCCCTCCTGCTGTGCGGCAGCACCCCCTGGTGGCTGGTTTGGTTAGTCAATGACCCAGTATTGCTGAGCTGGGGCACTTCCTGCTCACATCCCAGGCCCAATGGGCGGTGGGCAAGGAGCGGGAGCCAAGGCACGTGAGGAGCCCGCAGGATGGGACCCTGGAACGGCTGGTGCCCTGAGCAGCCATGCTGAGTCCTCATGGTTGTAGGCGGAGCAGCCTGCCAGCTCACCCTGGCGGTCAAACCCCCCGCCCCCACTTCTGGGGGAGTCTGACCCTCACCCTGGGGTAGCCGTAGCCCAGTCCCGCCTCCTCACCGGCCCTGCTGCGCCAGGGGGTATGGAGAAGGAGCCCAAGGGTGGCAGCAGCCCACTGGCTGCTCTACCCATGAGGTCCAGCCCCCCACAAGGCAGTTTTTCTTGGACTCCAGTTTCTTCCTCCCTGTTGGCAAACCCAACATCCCCTGTCCCCGGACATCCCCCTAACCCCAGGCACCTAGCTAGCAGGATGCCCACACACAGACATATCACCAGCAGGATGCCTGAAAGGGCAGACCAGCTGGCTGCAGCCCTGCTGGGAGATGCCGGGGGTGATGGGAGGCACCAGCAGCCACAGACCCCCCCCCAGCAAGGGATGAGCAGAACGCACAGGTGCTTCCAGGGGGGCCAGCGAGCTCGCCCCCAGCTGACAGTTTGGCCTTGCAGCTCTCAGCTTAGGCCTGGGGAAGGCAACAACAGCTCAGTGCCACCCCTTCCTCACCTCTCACTCCAGGATCCAGGGCCTCTCCAGCCAGCCCACAGTGGCCAATCCCCAGGCCCAGGGTCAGCTGGGTTCAGCCCCTCCCTGAGGGCCAAAGGCAGCACTGGCTGCTGGAGCTGTGCCTTACACCAAGCAGGAGTGGAAAAGCCAGGAGCCCTGTTCCCCAGCCTGCAGCAATGCCCACCCTTGGGGGACTGGTGCCAGCAACCCAGAGGAGTCCGTGGACAGCAGCCTACAAAGCTGCATGATGCACTGGAGCTGGGTTTGCTGCAGGTCAGGGGCCAGCATTAGGGGAAGGTGGCCAGGCTCCGCAGACAGCAAAGCAGAGCTGGTTCCCCCAGCTGCTACAGCTCAGCCCCGGAGCTGGCACAGCATTATGCTGGGCTGCAGGCCCCAGGGCGCCCCAGGCCACCCCCGCAGAGCTGGCAGCTGGTGCCCTGGTGGCGCCCTCCTGGCAGCAAAGACGACTAGGAGCCAGTTACAAGAACAGGAATCTTTATTTTACTACAGAAGGGTCCAGCAAGCAGCTGTGCTGGGCAGACCCAGGGCCCAGCCCCAGCCCGCATGGCCAGGCCAGGCCAGGCCACTCCCCAGCAGGGGGCTCAGCCAGCCCAGGGGAGGCACCACTCAGCCCATCTAGGTCACATCACATCGGCACTTGGGCGCACTGCGAGCCTGCCACAGCAAGGCAACAGGCTCCGAGGGACCAGCACCATGGCACAGAACCCAGGGGCCTTGCTCCCAGAGCCCTTGGCCACCCACCATGCACCAGGTCACCCCTGCTGGGCCAGAAAGAGGGACATTCAGTCTACACCCACCCTCCAGCCTAAGGTCCCCGTCTAGTCTGGGTAAGCAAGGAGACAGCAGTGACGGGAACCTTAGCCCATGGTCATTGAAAGGGAGAGGACAGGCCACCCCGCTCAGACCTTGTTATCAGGCTTGGGGGAGGCACACCTGGCAGGAGGGGCCCAGGTACTGCAGTCCTTCCCCAGACCGGAGCGAGCTCTGCTGTCAGCCCCCAGCCTGATGGGAGCTAGGACACAGCCCCAGCGATGGGCAAGACAGCACAGCACAGCAGCCCCTGGCCCAGGGCAGCCTGCTGGGTGCTAGCCAGGCCCTCACACCATGAGCACAGCCAGAGGGCATCTGGGAACAGCAGCCTGGGCAGCTCATGGGAACAGGACGCAGCTGGCCTCGGTGCCACAGGTTCACCGTGGGAACACGGGCCCAGGGGACACTGCAGGCAGCAGTCCCAGCTCCCACTGCCTAGCTAGGCAGAGCAAGGGTGCTGCAGTCACCCCAGGGGCTGGGGCTCTTGGGGAAGCCTGGCATGACAGGGCAAGGACGTGCAGCAGTGGAGTCCCTCCGCTCCCCTGGGGAGTGGGCGGCTTAGGGGGTCTGAGATCAGGGCCCTGACGCGGACAGCCTCCATCCCACCCTGCACAGTGCCACACAATGCTTCCTGCTCCGGGCCGGCCCCTCCCCAGCCCAGGCAGAGCAGACCACACAGCACGGCACAAGGAGTTCCCAGCTAGGTACGGTCAGGAGCAAGGTGGATGCCCCTCCCCAGGCAAACATGTGATGTGGCCGAGCCAGCCCAGGGCGGAGAGGTGCAGGCTCCCAGCACAAGGCCAGGCGCTGCTCAGGATTTCACGTTCAGAGAGACAGCGGAGCGCTGGTGGTGCCAGTCACGAAGGCCAGTGTAGCGGGGGCTCTGCAGCTCAGTGACAAACTTTTCTCTGAAAGGAAGGAAGGAAGGAAGGAGATGGACAGAGAGGGGGAGGAGGAGGAGAGGTTAGCGCCAGAGGGAGGAAGAGGCTCCATCGGCTGAAATCAGGACAAGAAAGAGCAGCCACATGACTTCATGCAACCAACCGGGGAGGGCGAGTGCCAGGACCCCGGACCAGCCCCTCCAGCAGATGCTAAAGGCAGCACAAGGGCCTGCAGATGGCAAAGGCCAGGCCAGGGGCCTGCCAGCAGGGAGGCTGGTTTAACCTCAAGGCCAGGAGTGGCAGAGTCCAGGGCAGCAGGGACACCCCCAGACAGGCACCCATGCGGAAACCCTGGTGCCCACAGTCCTTACCTGGCTTTTCTAACATGCTCATCATCTGGATCTTGCACTGAGAGCAGCAGGAGAGAAGAGAGAGAGTAACAGTTGGAGACGCCCTGAGGGGGGAAGGAGGAAGCGCACAAGCACCATCTCTTGGCCCCAGCAACTGGCTCCCGCGGAGCCTGCAGGCCGCTCCTGCCCCAGCCGGCTGTGCTGCAAGGGCTAGACTGAGGCAACACAAGGCGCCCGCGGAGTTAGCCAGACTCCGTGAGCAGCAGGGACTGGTCTGGGGCAGGCCCACAGAGCACACAGTGGGAAAAATACCTGGCACGCTGCTGGGAGCGGGCTGCCCAAGAGCCATCTGCACCAGCTCTGTAGGGAGACCGGCTACTCCGTGCCCTGCAGGCCACCAGCCACCCCAAGGCCCCCGGCTAAGAAGGATGCCAGGCCTGTCCAGTCCCAGCGTCAGAGCAGGGCTGCTGGCCAACCCACGCCTGGTGTCCTGTCCATCAGCCCGCATGTGCCAGGACCCAGAGGGAGGCACTTACTGAACTCTGTGCCCGTGAGCTGGGCCAGGATGTGGAAGGAGCGGGACTGGGTGGTGCCAGTACGAGGCTGCCAGTCCTCCGTATCCTCAATCAGCCGCTTTTTGCTGGAGTCATTGGGCAGGCCGACTGGGGGGCTCATTAGCCGCAGAGCGTGCCTGTGCACAGACAGAAGGGCAGGGTGCTCAGCCAGCACGCACGGCACACCCCACATCACGCAGGACAGGGAGGGCCTTCCAGCCAAACCCCGAGTGTCCCTCCCACACGGTAACCCACAACAGGGCTTGGGGCACCCCACCCCCCGGGGCACAGCACCCCCAACACATCACTCGGACACGAGCTACATCCCTGTGCGTGCCTCCTTGCTGGCCTGGCAGCCCGCTGACACCTTCCCTCGGGGGCAAGCAGCTCAGGGCCCAGGAACACAACAGCACAACATGCCAACTAGCAACAGACACAGATCTCCCCTCCTCCCCCCCCCGCCCTTACTCATCCTCCACATAGGAGCGGCCCAGGTCTCCACGGGGCTGAGTTTTCCCCTCTGGTGGGCTGGGGCCGGCACCGACCCTGGGGCCAGGAGAGAGGCAATAAGAGCATGAGTGAGTCAGGCGACAATCCCAGCACGGAGGAAGAGCCGAGTGAGCCCCCACGGGACCAGGAAAGGCTCTGCTGGCAGCCATGGTGCTGAAGGAGCCGAGCCCCAGGAGCCTGCTCCATGGTGGGCCATGAGCTCTCCAGGGCACAGGCTGCTCCACCGCCCGCAGGTTACAGAGCACGTGCCTGGGCAAGGATACCCTCCTGCCCCCACAACCACCGGCCAGTGACACCCAGCTGCTCTCTGCAGACCCCTGCCCCTCGCTGCAGAGGGGTTGAACAGCATCAGGATTCCAAAGCTAGCAGTGGCCAGAAAGCCCCCTGCCCTGTGACTGCCCCAGCCAGGGCCTCCCCTGAGCCAGCACCATGCTCCCAGAGGAGGCAGCTGCTCTGCCTGGCTCCATGTCAGCTCCCCACTCAAGGTCAAAGCATTCGTCTGGGCACCAGCTCTGGGGAGGGCAGTAGGCTGAGCCCAGGCAGTATGTGAGGTTGCTGGATAGGGCTGTTCCCCTTAGCTACAGTTCACTGCCCCCAGCACTCAAGCTGTGCCTGAAATCTCGTCCTTTGGGCAAGGAGCAACCCCCTCGGCCAGGACCCCTGCCCCTGCACAGGGCCAGCGCCCAGCCACACCCCAGCATGGCACTTGGGGCTGAACCAAGGGCTCCCGAGCCATGCCTGGGGGAGGGGATGGCTATAGGGGAACACAGCCCATAGGTCCCGCTCCTTTCCCCAGCGGGCCACAGGCACCTCCCCGAGTGGAGAGGAGGAACACAGCAAGGCAGCAAGATGGTTCTAGAGACCAGAGGGGAGTGGGCACAAGCCCAACGATGGGGGGGGGCATGTGGGTGCTCACCAGCCCAGCGTTCTGGGGGGAGGGGAGGGGCGGGGCATGCAGGGGATTAGGAGCAGAGGAAAAAGGCTTACTGACTTGTCAGGGTTCTGCACCTGCGGAGTCGGGGAGGAGAGAGAGGAAGAAGAGGAAAGGAGGGAAGAAAGAGATTAGACCCACTGCATCCACAAGAGAAACGTGCAGAGCGAGACAGAGGTCCAACTCTCCCTACACCCAGACCCCACCCGGGCCAGCTCTGGCTGCCGTCTGCCCCAGAGCAGGCCAGAGGAGAGGGTGCCCCAGAGGGCAGAGTCAGCAGTAGATCACAGCACATCCCCCACTACAGACCAGACCTGGCAAGGGGGTTCTCTGGGGCACCTAGTCCAAGGGCGCTCCCCAGCCCACGCTACTCCAGGCTGGGTCAGGGCCCCAGGATTAGGCTGCTCTCAGATAGGGAGGGGCTGGCCGGCCAGCTTTCTGCAGCCCAGGCTCCCTGGGGAACACGGGAAAGGATCCCAGCTTGGCGAAGTAACTGCACAGTGCAGAGATGAGGGCCACGCTCAGCGGCCCCCAGAGTTCCCCACACCAGCTCTGGCAGCTCAGCCGTGGGGGTACCCTGTGGCACCCCCACCCTCAGCATGCCCAGGAGAGACCGGCCAGACACATGCTTCTGGAGGCGGCACAAAAACGCCGCCAAGCTCAACAGAACAGCCTGTCCCCTTTTGGGGTGGGGTCAGCCCCTGCCTGCGGCTCCACTGCCCAGCCACTGCCCTGCCCAGATGGGCAGGAGAGCCCACGCCTGGGGAGTCCCAGGTACCCTGCCAGCAGCTGGCCAGGTGCAGGGGACACCAGCAATAGCCCAGAGTCAGCTGGCAGGAAGGCTCCAGGCTGGCCTCTGCTGAACATGCCCCAAGGCTCCTCAAAGAGGTCTGGAAGCCAGAACCCACATGGCCCCCCCCCCAAAGAGAGCCCAGCCCACATCAGCAAGGGGAGAGGGAGGAGCGCAGGGCCAGCGAGGCAGGTCAGCCAGTCTCTGCGTGAACTAGGTGTGTGGAAGGAGGGGGGGGAGGGGGGCTGCTGCTTTTTGCAGTTCAATACCGGAACCAGCCACCAGGGGTCACTGAAACACCAGCCCTGTAGATGCGGCCCACAGCTTTGGGTGCTGCTCCCCAGAGGGGGTGCCCGTCCAGCCCCGCCAGCGAGCAGCCCTGGCTCGCGGGGCTCTCACCGCATGCACACGAGGCATCCGACATGCAAGGGCACAGCACAGCCAGACGCAGGCAGGGCCTCCGGGCGGGAGCGACCAGGCCCGGCCTGCAGTGCTGCGTGATGGACAGCAACATACCCATTGTGCTGGGGGGTGGAGGCGGGCGCGGGGGCCGAGTACGTCACAGGTTTCGTCACCAGCCCAGGCAGCGAGTTGGGCGTGGGACTGGCCCCGAAGGGCCGTGCCGTTTTGTTGAGGGTAGTACTAGGAACGAAGTTATATTTCGGGGGCTGAGAGCAGGGGAATGAATCCTGAGCGGGAGACAAAACACAGCACACAGGCTTGCACATCAGGCAGCATGCGAGAAGCACAAGGCAGCCCCATGGGGCAGCCATGCTAGAAAGCCAGGCCCATGCCTGGCCTCCCAGGGGTGTCCAAGGGTGACAGCCTCTGGCACCTTAGAGCGCTCTGTGGTGGCACTCAGCCACCAGCTGCTTCTGGGCTCTAGCAGGTGCTGCTATGCGCCCACCTGGCACCCAGCAAGGGGCACACAACAGCACCTTGCCCGGGGGATGACGGGAAGCTGTGAGCCCAGGAACTGGGTCCGGATGGGGGTGAGGGGCACAATAGCAAGCTGAAAAGAATTAGTGACAAGGATTGAGACACCTGGCCAAAGTCACTCAGATGCAGGGCCCGGACAGGCAGACCGCTAATGCGCTGCACTACGATACCTGCCCACACCATGCACCAGTGCCCTGCCCCCCAGAAGCCACCCAGCCCAGTGCCAGGGAAACTCCAAGGCAGTGTGCAAATACTGAAAGTGAGAGGCAGCTTCATGGCTGGGTCCAGCCCTGCCCGCCCCCATCCCTCAGAGGGACAGCACTTTGAGCCAGCCCCTGCAAGACAAGACCAAAGCCCTGGTTCCCAGCAGGATCTGCGCTGGGAGGTGCATGGCCAGGCACCTGTGGGACGCCCATTGACCTGCTGCGGAGGGCCTTTTGGAGGGAGGTGTCAGAGGTCACAGTGCCCAGTTACACCCCTCCTACATTCTGGAGTGGGGTGACTGGCAGCTGCCCTGACCCACAGCCAACCATGCCTTTGCCACCAGGACCCCCAGCACCTGGTGCCCTCCAAGAGCAGCCTGGGGCTAATTCCAGAGCCTCCAGAAAGGGCCCACAGACAAGTTCTGCCATCAAAGCAACGGGGACCCCTAGCCCTACCCGCCACAAGGCGGAGCTGGCGCCCACAGGGATAAGAGCAGCACATACCTTGTGTGGCTTCCCCAGGAGGCACTGGACTCTGCAGGAAAACATATGGAGCTGAGGTGAATAGACCACACCTGTCTCAGGTTGGGCTCTTCCCCCTCCCCAAACCAGGCCCAGCCAGACCTCTCTGCCAAACCAAGCATTGGCTCTTTATGGGCTCTGTGGGGTGCGGGACAAACCTGGAGGCTCTGAGGCAGTCCACCCCTGCGGCTTGGGCATCAGAATTGGGGTGGGGGCTAAGGAGGGGGCTGTGTGGGTCCCTGTCCCAGGAGAGATAGCAGCATGGGCGTTACCTGCTCAGGCTGAGGGAAAGCTGGTCTCCGCAGGCACGGATCTTGTTCTGTGCTTCGATGTGAGTCATGCTTCTGGTGTTCTCCCCATCGATGCTCAGCACCCAGTCGCCCACTCCCACACCGGCCTGGGCTGCCTTGCCACCGGGGGTCAGCTGCAGGGCAGAGCCAGAGAGTCAATCACATGGCACAAGCTCCCCAGGAATGATGGGAGCTGCTGGGACGGGTGGCAAGAGCCCCCGCAGACCGGGCCCAAGAGCCAGAGCCGCTCCCGGGAGTGGGACAGTGCAGGAGGGAGGTGGCTAAGGACACAGGCACTGCAGGGGAGCAGTGCTGCTGGGGGGACAGTCCCAAGCACCAGTGAGTGACGCTGCAGGGGGAGGGGAGGGCAGGGCTGAGCCACCCACAGCCCTCGGGGATGCAATCGGCATGGGGCTTCAGGAGTCCTGTGATTCGGCTACGGCCAACACCCTGAGCACACCAATCCCAGTGCCCCGACGCTCCCCAGCCCAGAGCCTGACTGCACCAGAGGGGGGCTGTCAACTCCGCAGCCAGCCAGGGCCAGCTTCCCCAAATTCTTCCAGCGGGACACAGCGCCCTGTATTCCCAGGCCTACGGGGGCCTGGCTGTGCACTAAGAGCAGCTGTCTTCCACCCCAGAGGTGGTGATGTTTTGGGGCTGGGTAACAGGCATGCATCTGGGCTGGCGAGAGCAGCGCTCTCGCAGCCCGCCCCGTGCCCCTCCACCATGTCAGGAGATGCCCAGCTGCCAGCTCTACTCAGTCCAGTGCAGGGCTGCTTTGCCTCCTGATCCTGCCCTTGCTGCTAATGCATAGCTCTTGATTGGGCTCCTTCCCCCCCCCACCAATGTAACCCCCACACTGACCAGGGCAATGCCTACAGCTGGGGAGGCTGCAGCACTGGGATTGGGCTAGGCAGGCCCTGGATCCAGCTTCTGAGGGCTGCTTTGGATCTGGAATTGAGCTGCTTCCCCTCCTACAGCCCCGCCAGGGATCTCCAGGACAAGAACCCGCTAGACTCAGCCAACCCTCCAAGTGTTCGTTCAACAGCTCTAAGCCTTAATTCCGGCCCCTGCGTGTCACATCTGCTGTAACTGACAGGGCTGTGTCACCCAGCACAGGCTGCTGCAGCCTGTTCTCAGTGAGGGACTCTCAGTGGGAGATGAGCTTTCGGCACTGCACCCCGCACTCCTGACACAGCAGCAGAGCGGCTGTAACAGCCTGACTCCCGAGCTGCCGGGGACCCGGGTTGAAAATGGAGTGCCAAGGCAACTCTGAAGTCTGCTCTCCCACTGCTCTGAGCATCTCTGCTAGAAGGCCTTCCTTACAGGAGTAACTGTCCACCCCTGGAAATCCCAGGGAAAGCTGCAAGTCCCAGCTCCGGCACCCATGCGATGCCTCACAACAAGCACCGATCCAGGCATTTAATACACTGACTACGTGTTTGCAGCACAGCCCCCGGGGGTTTTAAGACCCCTTTGCAAGTCACCATTAACGAAAGCATCCATGCTCCGGAACGTGAATACAAAGACCTTCCCCTCACCACAGGCACAAAGAGGGAAGCTGGTGTTAGGGTTTTAAGGCTGTGGGATGTGGTCGGACCCAGAGACCTCAGATGGACAGAACAAGCAACATCTGCAATTAGTGTGTTCAGCTGGTCAGTTCGGGGCATGTACCCAACCCAGTGCAGATGCGAGTCACACCCCCTGGGTGAGACCTCTGGCTACCCACACAGCCCACAGCTTTCTGAACGGAAAAAGCCAGTCCCTGGGGGTCCCAGGTGCCAAGTGTCTGCACCTTTGAGGTTCAGGAACAAGTGTCGGGGCAGCAGGGCTGGGAGAAGCTGGAGTTTGGCTCCACCTCCAGGGTGGGCAGCACGGGCTCTGGGCCTAGCACTAGCAGCCCTCATGCCTGCTCCCAGGGAGCCCGAGTGCCGCTCCGCCGGCAGGGACAGGGAGGCAGCGCAGTTCCAGGTCTGCGGGAGCACCGGTGTCCCTGCACACAGCGGGGGAGGGGGCAGCAGAGGGGCTGGAGGCATTACCCCGAGGCAGGCTGCCCCTTCCCCTAAGGGCCGCTCATGGCTCCCTGCACAACCCGGTGACTCGAGGAGGGGAGACTGCATCCCCCCGCCCACCCCACACAAGGAACGGAGGAGGCAGGCCACAGAACAAATTTTGGGGACTCAGTCCCTTCGAGCCCATCATGCTGTTCTCCCCTCCTCTGCCACCCCCGCTAGGCCTGTAGGGAGGGCCAGGGCAGGAGGGGGCATGCACCTTCCCAGGCTGGTGCCAGCTGCAGGGTCCCACGCTCCCAGGGCAGAGGCTGTGTGTGCAGGGCTCACTGGGGAAAACCAGGCACCTCCCGCCTACCCTCCTGTCCCGCAGGCCCACCGGCGCTCTGCCTGGGAAGCGCAGCCCCCCCAGCAAAGGAACCAGCCCCAGTGCAGGCAGGCATTGCGCTAGACGCCATAGCGCTGGCCAGGGTCGGGCCATGGAAGCGAGTCAGAGCCTTCCCTAACACAGCCCATGCGTCACTCGCTCCCCCGCAGAACTGGAAACCACAGGCATTTCCTAGGCTGTGTCTGGGCGGGAGGGGCCAGGCAGACCCCAGGAAGCTTCTCTCCTGCTGTGCTGATCCCATTCCTCTTCCTCCGGCAGCAGGCAGAGACATTACCTCATCCCCAGCCATGGGGCTGCAATACCCAGCCTGGCGCAGGGAGACGTTAACACTGCTTCAGCACCGGCAACATTTCCTCTACTCCCAGCCCTGCACAGGGCCCGGCTCAGGGGCTGGGCGAGCGGCCCGCCCGGCTTCACCCGCAGGGGCCCCCAGAACCAGCCAGGCTGCAGTCACACAAACCCCCAAAAGCAGGGCCCCTGGCTCAGCGCCTCCCCCCGAGAGTCTAGAGCAGAGCCTGGAGCTGGTGCACTCCGCACAGCGGACAGCCAGGGTGGAGGACAGGGGGACACCACTAAAGCAGGCCCCGCTTCCTCCTTGCCCCAGAGACCGTGGGGCAGTCGGATGCATGCACAAGTGTCTCAGAAAGGCACTGTGGCAATGAGACCAGCCACCTGCTTCTGCAGCGACTCTTCCAGCCCAGCAGCAGAAAAGCCTCCAAGCCACACCCTCCCCTTCCCGTTGCCTCAGCTGCCCGGATGGGCGGGGCAGGGGCTCCCCTCCCAGGGCACCAAGCCTGCCAGCTGCAGGGTGCTAGGAACTGGTGCACAGCACTTGCCATGCCCTTCTGTCCCAGTGTGACCCCATCACAGCTCCAGCATGCTGGCATGGAGACAAGTGGCGATACACGGGCCCGGAGCCATTCCTGCTCCTCTGGGGTGGGAAGCTCAAGGGCCCTGCATTCGGACCAAATATTTCCTCAAGGCCAGCTCAACATGAACATAAAAGGACTCAGATAGGCCACTGGTGCCACGCCAAGGGCTGGAAAATCCCACCTGCCAACCAGACCCCTCTCCCCCCCTTGCCCTCTCTGCACAGGGACAGGAGAGGATGCCCTGTCCTCAAGGCGGCACAGGGGGCAGTTCCTGCACAACCCCACATGCTGGCAGAGCCATGTGCTGCACTGGACACCAGGCCCAGCCTGAGCAGGGAGGCCAAACCCCAGCACCATTCCCCTGCTGCCAGGAGTAAGCATTGGCGCCACTGGTGGCAAGAGTGGGATGCCGGGGCACCCTGAGGGAAGCCGTGTCCCAGCCCAATAGGAGCTGCCTGTGCTGGGCCAGAGAAGTGGCTTGAAGGCATCAGCCCAACCCTGGGCAAGATGGTCACAGGGTCACCCACCAGCCCTTCCCAGCCCCCACTCAAAGCTCTCCAGCCTCAGCCCATGGGGGAGCTTGGTAGAGACCCATGCAGGGCTTTGGAAACCAGACTGCACTCGAGCACGAGGACCTCCAAGGTGGCGAGGAAGGGACCCTGCTGGGCAACACGGGCACAAGCCTGCCTTGGCTGCCTGGGGTGAGAGCCAAACAGCTGCCAGCCACAGGAGAAGGGTCTCCCACAGTGCCCAGGACAGCAGCTGGCTCCAGGGCTGGGCTGGCTCAGGGAGAGCATAGCCCAGGCTGTGCTGGGGAGGTGGAAGGTCCCTGCTCCTGCTGAGAGCAGGGCAAGCTAGCCAGGACCCTCCCCAACTACACACAGAGCTCCCAGCTCTCCAGTCCAGGCAGAAAGTTTTTAGCAAGCTCCCCACGCAGCACAGCTGTGCTGGAGGAGCCATGGCAAGGGGAGGCCCTGGTAGCCAGGCTTGGCACTCTGTCCAGGCTACAATGCTGGGGGAAGTCTTAGTCTTCCATTGCCTGCCTAGTGGGGTGAGTTCCCCCAACACGGCTGCACTCCCCACGCTGCCAGCGCCTCCCTTCCATGACCTTCCCCAGGCAGAGGGTCCCCGTTCTGCACATGCTGAGCGCCCAGGGCACTTTGCGCCTGCAGCCACGACCAGCTCTGCCCATGTGGGAGACGCCCAAGATGGCCACGTGCACCTAGTTCTGAATGAACCATGGTGGGGGGGTGGAGGAGTCCCAGGATTCTCTCCCCCCACCCCGCCTTGGCTCTCCAGCCCAGGAAAGTCACCTGGGTCATGGGACCGCTGTGCCAGGAGTGTCCCAAGGCCCTGGCACACCCACCCTGCTGACAGCAAGGGCATATTTTTATCCTCTCTCTCCTTCCCTTCCCTAGCACTGCCTGGGAACAGCTGAGGCGGCCAGCACAGAGGGCCCCACCTGCTCCCTTCTCTCACCCAGTGCACACATGCACATGGAGAAGTGCCCAGGTCTGGCCTCTCACCTCAGCCACCCCCCGACCTGCCTCGAGGGAGGAGATGTCGTCGTGGAGAACGAGCACCATATAAGCATGGGGCCACCAGGCAGATCCCAGGCTGTGACCCACTTATTGCTGCCCCCCATGTCAGTGGAGTCACCCACACCTGGCCTGAGGGGAACCAGAGCCCCTGCTCATTAACTGGGGAGCATAACGAGCCACCCACCTCCTCCCTGCAGCCCTAAAGCCCATCAAGCAAGTGCTCAGCTCCCTATTCCCCTCCCTCAGCCTCTCCCCTTCAGCGCTGACCCAGCAGGCCCCAGGAGTTGGGTCAGGAGAGGCAGCAGCCACCTCCCTTCACGCCCTGCTCCAGAGCCCACCCATTGCAAGGAGTGAAGTCGCCACAGGCAAGGCCCTCACAGAGCCAAGCTGCAGGTGAGTCAGTGAGCCCAGACAAGCCTCGAACCCCAGGCCACTGGAGGCCTCATGGCCCATGGGGACGAGTGCTGGGGGAGGGTGTTCTCTGGTCCCCACAGGCTGGGCCATCAGCACCCCCAGTGCAACATCTTCAGCCCCTGCCCCAGGGCTGCACCCCACCACCACCACACACTGTGCAGGGATGGTGAATGGCTGTTCAGCAGCCCAGCCTCCCGCAGGGAGCACGCCATGCCTGGAGAGTCACTGGTCTGGCAGGGCACCGGCTCAGTTACAGGTGGCCTGCGAAGGGCAACCAGCCCAGCAACAAGCTGACAGGTGGGAGAAGCAGGAATGCTGGGCTCACTTTGTCACAGAACCCAGGGGAAGGGGCATGAAACTGAGGGACAGGGCATCAGCAACAGAGCAGAGCAAGCTGGCACCCAGGGAGAAAGCAGAGCTTCTTGTTGCATGGGCCACAGATGGCTCCAAGGGGCACACAAGCCAAGAGGGCCCCCACTGACACAAGGCGCACCAACCCTTCAGCAGAGGGTGGGGTAAGGAGGTCATGCTTCTCCACAAGAGGTGGAAAAAGTCCCCCTGGCCCAGGAGCACCAGTCCTGGGTACAGGCAAGGGGAACTCTGAAGGACAGGGGGCACAGGGGCTGGTAGCCAGCAGGCAGCACTGAGGGGCCATGGAAGAAGCTGGCCACAGCTCTAGTCTCTGCTTCAGCCGCACTCCCAAGCTAACCAATGGAGCTGGTCTGGAGAGGACCTGTCAGTGCAAGCAGAGGCCACCTCTTGGGCCAGCTGGCAGCCAGAGAGAAGGAGCAGGGCACTGGGGTGGTACCAACACTACAGCATTGAGGGCGAGGAGCAGGGATGTCTCGGAAGAAGGGGTGGGAGCTGCCTTCAGCACCTCAGTAGCTCTCCTCTACCTGCCCACCAGGCCACATGCCTCTGAGTGCACCCATCTGGGGCTCTGCCTCATCGGCAAGGATTCCTTTCCCGGGGTGATGAGTGGGAATATTTGGTAATGTTTTTATGAGGCCTGTGTGTGCCTCTGTTTCCCCTGAGTGCAGCAGTGCTCCCCAGTGAGTGGAAGGGGACAGTTTGCTCTCTGGACAGGCTGAGACACATTGGTGAGGGTGTCCCCCAGCTGTCTGGGGCTTAATCCCACACCACGGGTCAGTTGAGAAGACAACAGCAAATCCAGGGGCCAGGACACTGACACCTCACAACCAACAACCCAGAGGGAGATGGACTCCCCTACACCACACCCCCCCAGCTTGAGATCAGAGGACTGAGGGCTGTGAAATGGGGGATAAGTAGTGGGTGCTGAACGGAGTCAGGGCTCCCCCTCCATCTGACCTCCTTGGTCAGACCCCAGCTTGGACAGATGGAGCTTGAACTGAGGGGTTCCCTACAGCTTGTCTGGGCTCTGGGCTGGCCAGAGTGGCCTCTGCTTTGCCTTTCATGTCTGCAGACTCCCTAGGCCACGTCCAGTTAACAAACCCGACGGTTGTGACAGCACGGTGTGCGCACCAATGCCAGTGCCAGGGGAGGTGCATTAATTCAGAAGAGCAGGCAAGTCTCCCCAGGGTCCGTCTCAGCTGCAGGTGCTGCCCAGAGCGCCCGGTGCAAAGCAGGGGCTGCAGGCCCAGAGAGGTTCAGTCTCAGGAGGCAGCGAAGCCATGAGGCTCCCCCTGGAGGGAGAGACCCCTGCTCTGGGGTCTGGCCACTGGAGGGTTCCTCCCAGAGCCTGTTGCAAAGCAGGGCCCACAGCATAACCCTGCAGATCCATGATGGGGGAGGGGTTCCCAGTCCCTAGAGACCTGCAGGTGGGCCCCACAACCTCCACTTGCACTCCTTGCTGCTCTCAGATAGCCACAGACCCCAGTACCGCACCAGAGACTTGCAGCCCTTGGCGGGGGTGACCCAGCCACCCACGCGGGGAGCCAGGGCTGCATGCACAGGAGAGGGGTTCTGGAGTGAAGGGGGCCTCTTGGTGACCGCAGAAGAGACTAGCTGGCCCCTGCCACCCCCACACATTAGCTTTGCTCCTTATCCCACAGGCGGTGGAGTGCCAGCTACAACCACATCATGGGGTGCCTGCTCTCGTCTACATTAGTCCCTTGCAGTCAGCTCTGCCGGGCTCTCCCTTCCACTGGCTGGGCAGCAAACAAGACCTGTGTGATGGTACCCACCTGCACTACCCAGCCTTCCTGAGCAGCACACCCCCAGCCCGGGGAGTTTGCCAAAGACAGCACCTGGCCCTAGCACCTGGCCCGGGATTAACGTGCACCTCCATCAGCACCACACTCTGCAGGGCCCAAACCCAAACCCTGGGGCTGGCTGCCCACAAGCTGGGAACTAGCCTCTGAGCTGGCTGGAAGAGGAGATCCCTGCAGCTTTGCCTTTGTGGCCCTTTGGCCCCTTGGAACAGCGGGGGCTCGCTCAGGAAACCCTCCTCCCCAGGACATGGCCCCTCCCCCCAGGCGTTCAGAGGCGCGGAGCCAGGCTGTGCTCACCACTGAGCATAGGGCCCTTGGAACAGACAGTGGGGGGGCTGTGTGGGGAGGGGGCTCAGGGGCCACCACAGTCACACAGCTCTGGTCCTCTGCAGACCCCTCTGCCTAGACAGGCCCTGTTTAGTGCAGGCAGCTAGCCAAGAGACATTGGTCTAGAACACGAGTTGAGGCTGTCTCTGCAAGGAGCCTCCCGAGCGCCTGCAGGGTCCAGTGGGCTGCCAGTGAGCTCCCCACAGGGCTGGGTCAGCAGAGGCCCAGTCAGAGACCCCTCCTCACCCTGACAACAGGCTTGCTGCTGTACACACGGGCTGTCCGGCATACGCAGGAGGGAGCCCTCACACAGCCTGCTCCTGCCTCCAGCATGTTGGGAAAGCCTCCATCCACCAGCATTGCAGCACATTCCAAGGCTTATAAGGCAATTCCACGGCAAGGGCCATCTGCCAACGATCCAGTGAGAGGTTCATGAGCATCCTGTGCCTAGGCAGGACTGGGACCCCATGGGGGGCAGCTTGCAAGGCCGTGGAACCCCTCCCCACCCAGAGGGACTGGGCACAAGGAGCTGGCCCGAAGAGCCTTGAATGGCAAGGCAGGGGTGCAGTTTGTGCTAGGTGCCGATTCGCCACCATTACAATGTCAGCTCCTTGTACCGCTCCATGCCAGCCTGGGCCACAGGGGGGTGCAGTCCTTGGCCTCCTCATGGCTTCCAACAAAACAGGGTGGGATGGGGCACCTGGCCACTAGGAATTGAACCAATATCCAAAGGTGTTTCTTCCAGATACTGCCACCCCAATGCCAGCTGCTCACCCCAATGGCTCTAAGGCACAGAGCACATGGCTCTAGAGGGGTGGTCTCACCCACCTTGGAGTTCACTGGCAGCCCCCTGATCCCCAGCCCAGGAATTAGTGCAGCCCTATGTTACTGAGACAGCCCTCCTGCACACAGCACAGCACTCTCCCAGTGGGGCAAGCATACAGCTAGGAGCTAGCCTGAAGTCAGCACCCAATGCTGCTGGGTACAGATCCAGGGTTCAGGGGCTGGGAGAGGGAACCCAGGGCAGAGCACCAGGACTCTCCAAGTGTGACCTGTGGCAGACTGCTGAAGGAGACTGCCAGGAGAGGAGGTGGCTCTGCAGGACAGTCCCCAGGAAGCAGCTGAGAATGAACAGGCACAGCGCCCTACAGCACTTCAGCAGGTTGTCTCAAGGCCTGGGCCTGCCCCAGGAACAGAGTCCAGACCCCAGGCAGACTGGGGAGAGTTCATCCCACAGCAGCACCCTGCCCCTGAGCACCAGGCTGGCCCAGCTGGGAGCAACTGACTCACATCCAAGCAGGAAGGAGCCCCCCAACATCAGTTTGGCATGGAAACCACCACACCAAGACCCCGACCCACTGGCAGGATGCCCAGAGTCACTGCTCTTGTTGAGGACACCAGAACATAGGCACGAAGGGAAGAGACCAGGCAACAGGCTCCAGGAGGGGAGCTCCAGGCCGGGGTGGGGGGGGAGTCACAGCATGGCTGAGCCAGAGGTTTTTGCCACAGTTCTTACCCTGGAGATGGAGAGGGGCATGTTGAAGTCCTTGCCCCCCTGCAGCCTGAATCCCCAGGGCGCCGGCCCATCCAGCATCACTTTATAGGAGTCCATGCTGCTCATTTCTGAAGCTAGAAGAGAAGATTCAGGCAGTTAAGAGTGAGGAGAGCAGAGAAGGGGGCCAGGGTGCTCTTGGGGCCTCTGAGGGCCAGTCCCAACCATCTACTGACACACTGCCCCCATGGCTACTCCGGGGGAACACGGGGGAGATTCCCCAGTGACACTGCTAGAGAAGATCCCAAGCTAGGTCAAGCCATCACAGGGAGAGGATCCAACCCCCCCTCAGCATTCGGCCCAGAGTCAGAGGGGGCCACCTACAAAGTGCAAAGCCACTGCCCCTACAGCCAGGTGCCCATGGTACTCACCAAGCCACAAGCTACTCGGGACTCTGGCAGTGACAGCAGGGTTTGGAAACCTTTTTGTTGGTCAAGTCAGCACTGCCAGGGGGTCTGCTTGACACTCACTAGCCCCAATCACTGGCAGACACAGGGGAGACAGACTTCACCCCAGCAGCCAGCTGAGAAGAGCAACCCCATCTGCCAGTTTGCACAGGAAAGGGAATCCCTGCAGGACAGCCTGTCCCTACACAGCTGCCAGCCAGGGGGCTGGGGCCAGCCCCAACCCTGCTCAATTCCAGGAGTCACCACCAACCTCATCTGACAGAAGCTGGAGCAAGGCCTTCGGCCTCTCCTCTCCCTCCAAACCCAGGGAGGGGCCAGCACCAAGGGATGGCGACTTAGCCCCCAAATCTAGCTCCACACCCCCACGGGTAGGTGATGGGCAGGATCCCAGCCACCCTCCCCCAAGCTCTCCCCAGCAGCTTGCAGGCTATATAAGGCATGTAAGATGATACCGGCATGCTCCTCTGGCTGCTCATCCGGGCTGGGGGCTGGGAGGGATACTCCAGAGCAATTGCTTCATGTCAGACATTCCCTGTGCTGGCCAATAAAGCAAGCAGACAAAACCAGCTCTGGGCTGGGATCCCTCACCCCCACAGGAGCTGCCTTGGGGCAGAGCAACAGCCACCTGGGCTCAGACCCGATCCGCTCCCCCCACTCCAGAGACCCCCTCGCCAGCAGGCCCCACTTCCTTCCCCTCTAAGGAGCTCAGCTGCAGCTTAAAGCTTATCTCCATGGGACTGGGGGAGGAATGCGCTGGGCTAGGAAGAGGGGGGGAGCCTGAACCCTCCCCACTTCCTGCGTGGAGCCAACAGGACAACGTGCCCGAGCGGGGCCCTTTGCCACAGGCTGCAGCGGGAGCCTGGGCTCTGAGCGCTGGGATGCGTGTGGAGGATGCGACGGGGTGGGGATGTCCCTGCCGCACTGGAGGAGCTGCGCAGCCGTTCCCAGCCCTCTTCTGAAGCTAACCCCCCTGGTTAACACGGCAGCCCCCCCGCCCCAAACAGGGCTCCCACGGCCCGCCACCGCCAGACCCGAGCTGTGGCTTCCTGCCAGACTCCAGGCACCTGGTTCGCCGGGCCAGGCAGGCTGGGAAGCGTGGCCAGGTGTGTCCCGGTGCCAGGACGGGCAGCGGCCCCGAAGCCGGAGCCAGACACAGCCGGGGCGAGACTAAAAGGCTCCTTCCCCCGAGCAGCAGGAAGGAGGACCCCGGCGAGCAGCTGCAACGACCCTCGGCCGCTGAGGCGGGTGGAGACCAGGGCCCAGAACAACCCGCCGGGGCAGCGGCTCAGGGCCCCGGAGACCAGCGGGGGCGCAGTGACCGGCTCCCGCGGGCACCGCCGGGGCGGGGGCCGGGGGGGCTGCGGGTCAGCGAGCCGCCGCGGCCGGGGGGGGGGCTGCGGGGCCGGGGGGGGCTGCGGGTCAGCGAGCCGCCGCGGCCGGGGGGGGGGCTGCGGGGCCGGGGGGGGCTGCGGGTCAGCGAGCCGCCGGGGCCGGGGGGGGGCTGCGGGGCCGGGGCCCCAGCGCGGGCTCCGGGAGCTGCCGCCGGCCCAGCAGAGCCCCGCAGGCCGCTCGCCCGGCCCGCCCCGGGACCGACCCCGGCCAGGGCCGCCGGTCCCCGCGCTGCGAGGCGCCCTGGCCCCGGCCGGCGACGCGGCCCCTGGAAGGGAAGGGAAGCGGCCGAGCCCCCCCGGGCCCCCCCCCCTCACCGGGAGGGGGGCGCGGGACCCCAAACCGCCCCCTCCAGCGGCAGCCCGGCCGCCGCCCCCAGCCCGCCGCCGGGGAGGGAAGCTACGTGCGCGGGGGCCACCCCGGCCCCGGCCCCGGCCCGCCCCCCTCGCGCCCCGGCCCCCCCCTCGCGCTCCCCTCGCGCCCCGGCCCCCCCCTCACCTGCTCGCGCCGCCGGCTCCGGGCGGGGCAGACTGACTCTGGCCGCGGCCCCGCCCGCCCAGTTTCTTGTATACCCCCAGGGGGCGGGGCGATTCCGCCCCGTCCGCCAATCAGCGCAGCCTCCGTGCACGCTCACGCACCGCCTTTTGCGCCTGCGCGGGGCTACTCAGCCTTCCGCGGCTGGGCTCCCCCTGGTGCCCAGACCGGGGCGCTGCAGGGACAACGCGCCGCCTGCGGGCCGCGCCGCGGGGCGGGGGCAGGCTCCCCCGGGGGCGGGGTCTGCACGGCCAACAGGCCCCGCCCTCCTGCCCTAGCCCGGCCCCTGCCTCCTGCCCCAGCCCCTGCCTCCTGCCCCAGCCCTACCCTCAGGGGGCTTCAGACTTAAGGCCTGGGAGGCAGCAGAACCAGGCTCCCTGCAAACTCAGGCACTTTCTCCCCTCGCAGAGTTAAGGGCTGGGAAGGGGCTGCGGCGGGAGGGGGCTTTCCTCCCGTGCACGGTGCATGAGCTGACGGGGCCCAGCAGGGCAGCGCCAGTACCAAGGGCACCATCCTGGCTCACACCAGCCCCTCCCCCTGAGTTCTGGCAGCAGGGACAGCTCTCTCCTTGGCTGCTGCACCTTCCTTGCCAGTTCATCACCCCCCTTTTCCCACATCCAGTGCAAGATTCAGCTTCAAGCCCGAAACAGTTCTGCCCCAAATCTCAGTTCCTCTCCCTATGCCCCTCTTGAGCCCCCCGTTCTGTGCCCCTCCTTTCCCTCATAAGAACATAAGAACGGCCACACTGGGTCAGGCCAAAGGTCCATCCAGCCCAGTGTCCTGTCTGCCGACAGCGGCCAATGCCAGGTGCCCCAGAGGGAGTGAACCTACCAGGTCATAATCTAGTGATCTCTCTCCTGCTGTCCATCTCCACCCTCTGACAAACAGAGGCGAGGGACACCATTCCTTCCCCATCCTGGCTAATAGCCATTAATGGACTTAACCTCCATGAATTTATCCAGTTCTCTTTTAAACCCTGTTATAGTCCTAGCCTTCTATAGGCAAGGAGTTCCCCAGGTTGACTGTGCGTTGAGTGAAGAAGAACTTCCTTTGATTTGTTTAAAACCTGCTGCCCATTAAACCTGTTCCTTCTGGAACAGCCCCTCTCTTCTTGTGCCTGAAGCTCTCTGCACCGCCCCTTCCTTTCACTCCCCTCTTGAGCTAGAGCTGGGCAGAGCTTGCAAATAAGACATTCTCTTGGGAAAATGGCCATTTCTCAAAAGCATGTGTTTTTGCCAAAAATCGTTGATATTTTGCAAAGAGAAAAAAGCCACATTTATCAAAATATGACATATTTTTCATTTACTGGAAAACACTGTCTGAAGGCAAAATATTTCACTACATGTAATATAACTAATTCACCCATCATTTAGAAAAGTAGCTTCATTTCGAACCTTTCAAAATGGAGCAACTCGGAAATTTCAAAGTTTCTTCCAAAACTAAGTTTTCATTTTCCAATTAACGCTGCCCAGTCACCTCCCAGCGCTGGCCCCAGGCTCCCTCTCACACCATCCGGCACCATAATAACCAGTGTTTAAAAGGGGGGAGGGGGTTACAAGAAGTAGCGGGTCCGGCAAAAACAAAGGAAGGACAAAACCCACCCTGGAGCCAGGTCTCTGGGGGCGCATGGCGAGCCCTGAGCGTTTGACCAAAGCTGGGGAGAGACCTTCCCTCCACTTTGTGCAGACCCCTCTACTCACTGCTAATAACTAATCTAATTCTTGTCATTAACCCCCACCCCATGAGTCATCACCCTTCTCCCTCAAGCCTTTTGCATTTCTTAAGCCTAAAGGTGATCAACCAAAAATGTGAATCTGGAAATAACCATCTGCTCCTGAGTAAGGGCTCTACTCTGGCACTTAGAGTGCCCAAAGGGCCAGGTGTTGGCATGATTGTCAGTTAGGCAGGGCATTACCACGACATACATTTGTGGCATAAATCCAAAGACCGACTGGTATTTGTACACATGCCTCAAAGCCTCAATGCCAAGCGACTGACTACAGCCCATCAGTAACAAAACATGGCTAAGCGTTTGATGAAGCTCCTTACAAAAGGGCTAATGCCAGGGAGTTGGTTGGTCTGGTCTCAGGAGCGACCTTTCTTCCCAATTTACTCTTTGATACCCTGTAACAAACCAGTGAGGTTGGTACCATTTACCAGCCCTTAGGCCAGCCCTGCTGAAGGAGTTTCCTAAGGTTCCTAAGCCAAAGGTTTGCTGCCCCAGGGCCCATCTACCCAGGGCTGGTGTCTGTTACTTTCGCCCAGTGCTCACCTTGGAGCACGTAGGCATTCGAAGGGTCACTCCAAGCTTAGCCCCAGAACTCGGCTGTCTCCTGATTTCACTCTCTTTGGTTCCATGCTCTGGCCCTGTTATTCACGCTAATCTCCGGACTCCATTTAAAGCCAGAGGTCACCCCGACCTAACGGGGGCCTGTGGTCCCACGCTGGGAAAGGCGACGCCCGCTCTCATAACCCGGGGCCAGGGGCAGGACCTTGCTGGCAGTGCTGCATGTTGGCTCCATGGCAGAAGAGGGAACAGGGGCCAAGGTGTTGAGGGGCGCGCGGCAGGCTTGCCGCACAGGTGTGCCAGTCGCGGGGCGGAAGGTGGCATGCGGGATCACAGTGCTTGCACAGGCTCCCAGCAACTCCACAGCCTGATCTGAAAAGCTGCTCTCACCTTTCTAAACCCAACATGCTTACACAAGCCAGGGCTCACCTGCGGCCCCGGCTAGCCAAGCCAGCACCCTCTGCTCATTAGACCCTCAGCTCATCCGATGAGCCGCAATCACAGCAGCAGCCTAGGGAAGGCCCCAGCTGTGCACATGCCTGTTCTGAGTGATGGTGTGGGCTTGTTTCTGCCACCCAGCCCCAGCCCTCTCCCCCTGTTTACCACCTGGGGTCCTGGGCAGCTCCTTGGGGACTGATGTTTCAGACCCCAGCGCTGGGCCCGCTCTGAGCGGACATAGTCCCCCCTATCCTTGGCTGGGCTCCTGCGCCCCTGCTGAGGAGGGGGGATTGTACCATGTGCCCAACACCTGCCTGCCCAGAGGCTGCATGCTGCATTGGAACAGGCCCAGGAGCCCCCCGAGGGAAGCCCTGGAACCAGAGTCCAGCCTGGCTGCCCCCAGGAGCTGCCAGAGAACAAGAACCCAACGAGCCGTGCGGAGCAGGGAGCTTTGCCGGGGCCGCTGGGGAGGGAGCATTTGCTGCTGGCGGCGGTGCGGCCCATGAAGTCCTGTGCTGAGCTTCGGCCTGTTCCCTTGGTGCAGCTGAGCTGTCAGAACCTGCTGCCTTTAGCAGCTTCCCATGCAGCAGGGCAACTGCACAGCTCCTGCCTCCCAGCAGCTGACACCCCTGCACCAGATGTGGGGGGGGCAGAGAGGACTGCAGAGACCCGGGGCATGGCCCCCCAGTGCACCTGTCACTCACTGAGGACTCCCAAAGCCCAGGGGCCCCACCCCATTATTTGGCAGTGAGAGGAAGGGCGACCAGGTGTCTGGTTTTCAAGCAAAACACCCAGTCGAAAAGGGATCCTGGCAGCTACGGTCAGTGACTGTCCAGTTGCCGGTGCCGCGTAGTGGGGCTGGCAGGCTCCCTGCTAGCCTCCGCGCGGTGCGGCTCCTGGGAAGCAGCCAGCATGTCTTCCCTCCGGCTCCTACACGTAGGGACAGCCAGGGGGCTCCGCATGCTGCTCCCGCCCCAAGCACCACCATGCAGCTTCCATTGGCCGGGAACTGCGGCCAATGGGAACTGCGGCCAATGGGAGCTGCGGGGGCGGCGCCTTTGGATGGGGAAGCATGTAGTAGACCCACCTGGCCGTACTGCCATGTAGGAGCTGGAGGGGGGAACATGCTGCTGCTTCTAGGAGCTGCTTGATGTAGGCGCTGCCTGAAGCCTGCACTCCTGAGCCCCCCGCCACCATGCTCCAACCCCCTTCCCCAGCCTGGAGCCACCTCCTGCACTCCCAAACCCTTGGTCCCAGCCCGGAGCACCCTTCTGCACCCCCAACCCCTCATCCCCAGCCTCACATCAGAGCCTGCACCCCCAGCCTGAGCCCTCAACGCCCCCGCTCCCCATCCCCCTGCCCCCTCCTGCATCCTGAACCCCTCATTACTGGACCAACCCCAAAACCTGCACCCCCAGACAGAGCCCTCACCCCCTCCCGCACCCCAGCCCCCTGAGCCAGCCCAGTGAAAATGAGTGCGTGGTGGGGGAGAGCAAGCGACAGGGAGGGGGGAATAGAGTGAGTGGGTGCAGGGCTCGGAGAAGGGGCGGGGCAAAAGTGTTCAGTTTTGTGTGAGTAGAAAGTTGGCAACCCTAGGGCAGGAAGGCATATGTCCGGCCCTGCCCAGAGCCATGGCCCGGCTGGGCGAGGGGCCAGTCAGCATCAAAGGGGGGTCAGCTGGTCAGGAGTCAGAATTTCCATTCTGGGGGGCGCAGGAAGCCCCATTGTGCCAGACCCCAGGGTTGGCCCAGGAGCTGCAGACCCTGGACGACCAGGCTCCCTGGCCCTGCAGCCCTCCAGGAGCCGGGGCATGAGGATCCACTGTTGGAGTCCGGTCTGGGGGTCACAGGGAGTTCAACAAACCCGATAGGTCACCTCTAAGTATTTGGTGTTCAATGAATCCGCCGTCCCCCAGGAAACCCCTCTTTGCTGCGCAGCTCCCCTCCCTAGCTAACCCCCGAGGGCGGAGAGGAAATGCCCACCCCCTGGGCCCAGCACCAGGCCCTGCCCCAGACACCGGACCCGCCTGGGCCACCCCCTGCCCGGGCTGCCCCCTGCCCGGGCCCCGGCCCTGGTGGGATCCAGAGTGCCAGCGAGAGGCCCTTTGTGAGCCACAGAGCACCTCAGGAAGCAGCTGCACTAGCCCCTGTCGGTACCAACCCTGCTGTGGCCAGCAACCTCGTCTAGAAACCAGGCCCCAGGAGAACCCCCAGCAAGCCCCCTCCACGGAGCGGACGGGGAGCCCTTGCATCACCCCAGGGAGCCGCTTCAGAGCAGCCCCCAGCCCATGGCAACCCGACACTGCCAGCAGTGCCCGGGCAGAGCGCTCGGTGCTGCCTGCCCCCCATAGCGGCGTGGCCCAGCACAGCTCCCGGGGGCAAGGCACCCACCTGGCTGGGCTCAGCTTGACCGGGAGTCTTGCCAGCGGCTGGCGGCTCTGCAGGCCAGAGCTGGGCCCAGGCCCTGCGCGCCCCCACGGCTCCTGCGTGCTCACGGCCCAGGGCCCACCTCCCCTGAGCGAGGGCGGCTGCCGGGCAGCTGCCCCCACCATCCCTGTCGACGCGGCTCGGCCCCTTCACCTCCCTGGCCAGGCCTGGCCGAATCCCTGCCAGGCAGCAGCCCCCTTCTGTGCAGCCCTCCGTCCTGCAGGGGCTCCAGCTGGCCCCCAGCAACCCCCCACTTCAAGAGCTGCAGAACCCGGCGGGCAAACTGGGCAGCTGCCTCCTTCTGCTGGGCACAAGGGGCCCAGCTTCCGGGTGCCACAGGGGGTGGGCCCGGCTCCGGCTGCTCCTGAGCCACGCTCAAGTTTCAGGGAGCAGCTCCCGCCCGCTCGGAGCTAGCGGCTGGAGAAGGCTTGTGCTTGTGATGCCCGGCAACAGCCCAGGCAGCTGGGTGCCCAGCCCAGCCCCGCTGCGGAGATGCCAGCGCTGCACTGCTGCCTGCAGCAGGGCCCGCGTCCTCCTGGGCTGAGTGGAACCCACCAGGCGGGGAGCCGCCCACCCCAGGATGAACCCTGCTGGCTCCACAGCGCCTGGTGCGGGAAGCCACCAGCAGGTGGACCCACATGGCACGGAGCCTGGGTGGGGTCCCGAGCTGCTGGGGGAGGTGCAGCACAAGGCGGGATCCATCCCACCCTACCCTGGCCCCCAGAAATGCCCTCCTGTGACAAAGGGGAAGCTTTTTTAATGTTTTGAATAAACATGGTGTGTGCCTCAGTTTCCCCTCTGTGTTGCACAAGTATCTCGGTGCTGGGACAAGGGTGCGTGATCCTTGCAGAGACCCCAGAGGGCAGGGGTCATGCTGCCTGGGCCCAGACAATGGCCGACACTCTGTATCCTGGCAGCTGAAGGCCGGGGCCCATCCTCTGCAAGGAGCCAGCCAGAGGCACCCAGGACACCTCCTCTGTGGATCTGGAACAGCTGCCATGGGAGAGGTTAATAAGACTGGGACTGCTCAGCTTGGAAAAGAGAGGACTCGGGGAGATGAGAGAGGTCTATAAATCATGGCTAGGGTGGAGAGAGTGACTAGGGACATGTTATTTACTTCTCATAACACAAGAACCAGGGGATACCCAAGGAAATTAACAGGCAGCAGGTTTAAAACAAACAAAAGGAAGTACTTCTTCACACAACGCACAGTCAGCCTGGGGAACTCTTTGCCAGAGGATGTTGTGAAGGCCAAAACTATACCAGGGTTGAAAAAAGAACTAGGTAAATTCATGGCAGACAGGTCCATCAAAGGCTGTTAGCCAGGATGGGCAGGGACCAAACCCCACACTCCAGGTGTCCCTAACCTCTGACTGCCAGCACCCGGGGCTGGAGTCCAGGGTGCGAATTGCTCACACTCACCCTGTTCTGTTCGCTCCCTCGGAAGTGGTGGCAGACAGGACCCGGGGCGGGCCATTGGGCTGCCCCAGGCGGCCACGCTCCACGGCAGCGTTAGTGTCAGCAGCACCTGCCTGCTCCTAGCCCGCCTGGAGTGCACTGGCTGCCAGCTGCGGGGCAGCGGAGCGATGAGAACAGGGAGCCCCGGCTGTCTCCCTGACCTGCAGCAGCCAGCCTTGCCCCCAGCCACGCTCAGACCTTCCCCTGCCGTTTGAGCACCTCTGGGGAGCCTGTGCCAGGCAGCTGCCATGTGACCCACCCTCCCGGCAGGGTACCTCTCCCCATCACCCACCGGGCACAGCCCGTTCATGCGACCCAGCCCCAGCCACCCCAGCCCTGGCGCCCTGTGCTGAGGGCATGCATGAGGCCACACTGGCTCCATCCCTCCCTCCCACACCTTCGAAGGGGAAGGCCAGGCCAGGCCTGTGCAGAATCTGTCCCTGTCCCTGCGGAGGGGCCCAGGTGCCAAGGGCAGAGTCAGCCTATGCCAGGCTTGGGAGCAGCCACCATCCCGCTGGAATGACTGAGCCTCACCCAGGCACCTGCCTGAGTAACCCAGGAGTCCTGGGCCAGCCTTCTCTCCCGGGGTTCGGGCTCAGGCAGGGCAGGGGAGAGCTGGGGGCTGCCCTTGGCTGACCCAGCCGTGTGCTCAGGGCTAGGGTGAATCTCAGCGTAGGGGGAGATGCAGGCTGCGTGCCCCCCTCACCGCCAGCCTGTGCCCAGAGCTGCCCAGCAGGGGGGCTAGGCCCTGTCCAGGCTGCTGGAGCTCTTGCCAGGCACCTTGGGGGCTACCTCTTGGCTTAGGAGGGTGACTAGCTTCCTGAAGCCACTGTTAACTGTGGCCTGCGGGAGGGAGCTGACTAGAGCATCTTCCTCCCCCTCCTCCTCCTCGCCCCGCTCCTGCCCCTCCTGATCCAGCAGCCGCCTGTACTGGGCCTCCAGGGAGGGGCTGGGCCCCGTGCTGGGAGCCAGGGGGCTGCTCCAGCGCTTGGACACCATGCAGCTGTTGTCGTAGATGGGGGCCTGGTTGGTGCTGCTCCCTTCCGGGGAGCCCCTGGAGCCCAGGAGTGAGGACCCCTCCCCCTCCACGGAGCAGGAGCGGCCCAGGGTGTAGAGGTTCTCGTAGAGATGCTCCGAAAGCCGGAGTCCCTGCCCGCAGAACGCCCTGGCCACTCCCTGCTCCACCTTGGCCTCTCCCCAGGGCTCGAGCGGGGGCTGCAGGCCTCTGTGGATGGAGGCATAGACGATGGGGGTCTCAGCTCCTGCCCCTGCACAGCCCCCCAACTCCAGGGTGCAGGGCAGGGCCTGTCCGCTCTCTGGACAAAGCCCCGCAGGGAGGGACGGCCTCCCTGCACCCTCCAGGGCCCAGGGGGGCAGCGCTTCCTCCAGGCTCTGGGAGCTCCGCAGCCTGGGCTCCATTCCCTGCCTGGAGCCCAGAGGCTCCGGCGCTTGGGGGCTGCTCCTGCCCAGGAGGCTGCTGCTCTGGCGGGCGATGGCTGCGGAGACGAGGTTGCACAGCTCCGCGGCCCGGCTGGTGGCCAAGGTGAAGATGCCCTCGCCCGAGTCGCAGCGGCGGCCTGCCTCGAAGGAGAACAGGGCCTGCAGGGAGCAGACAGCAGCGTTACCTGGGGTGTGGGCCATGGACGCCTGCCCGGAGAGCTCGGGGCTCCCCAAGGGGCCCACGCAGGCTTGGAGCAGGCAGGCGGCAGGGCTGGGCCTGCCCCGGTGCTCCTGCGGCCCCTGGCACTGCAAGGGCAGAGGTGGCCCCTGCGGGAGGCAGCCCAGTACCTTGTCGTGGCCGAATTTGCGCAGGAAGGGGTAGGGCCAGGTGAGGAGGGACTGGCGGGACTGGGGGGTCTTCAGCACAAGTCCCTTGGGCAAGGCGGCCAGCAGGTAGTGCCCACTCAGGCCGCACCTGGCGGAGGCATCCGTCCTGTGCACCAGCACCAGGAACTCGTTCACTGCAGGGAAACAAACCCACACACGAGTCACTGCCCGGCCCCACTGCATCCCACCTTCTGCCCAAGCCACTGCCTGGCCCCACTGCGTCCCCCTTCCCGCCTGCCAGAGTCACTGCCCGGCCCCACTGTGTTCCCCCCTGCTCACCAGAGTCACTGCCCGGCCCCACTGCGTCCCCCTTCCCGCCTGCCAGAGTCACTGCCCGGCCCCACTGTGTTCCCCCCTGCTCACCAGAGTCACTGCCTGGCCCCACTGCGTCCCCCTTCCCGCCTGCCAGAGTCACTGCCCGGCCCCACTGTGTTCCCCCCTGCTCACCAGAGTCACTGCCCGGCCCCACTGCGTCCCCCTTCCCGCCTGCCAGAGTCACTGCCCGGCCCCACTGTGTTCCCCCCTGCTCACCAGAGTCACTGCCCGGCCCCACTGCGTCCCCCTTCCTGCCTGCCAGAGTCACTGTCTGGCCCCACTGTGTTCCCCCCTGCTCACCAGAGTCACTGCCCGGCCCCACTGCATTCCCCCTTCCCGCCTGCCAGAGTCACTGCCTGGCCCTACTGCGTCCCCCTTCCCGCCTGCCAGAGTCACTGCCTGGCCCCACTGTATTTCCCCACTCACTGCCCGGCCCCACTGCATCGCCCCACCAAAGTCACTGCCTGGCCCCAAGCGGCCCCCAGCCACATCTCCAGCCATTCTGCTCTCCCCAGGCACCCCATGCAGGAAGACCCTCCCCCTCCATTCCAAGGCCCCCAATTCCAGCCTCCCTCCAGCCGACTGGGTGGGATCCTCTGGTCCCTGCCCCTCCCCCTCGCCTGGGGTCCCTGTGCCTGACCCACACGGTGCCAGGCTGTACGTACAGTCCTGCCAGGATGAGTAGAGGGTGTTTTCCTCCACGTGGAGATCAGGTCCAGGGGGGTCCCTGGTGCTGCCAGGTGCTGGCTCGTTAGTGCACTGAAAGCAGAGAGTAGAGCAGCTGCAGCCCCCCAGGGCACCTGCCCTTCCCCGCCCATGGACACAGGGGCTGTACCCTCCTGGCACCCAAATATGGGCAACAGGGTGCAGCCAACTCAGATCCCCTGGGGCAGAGGCCATGCCAGCACCCAGGGGAGGAGCCAGGGGCCATGCCAGCGCCCCGGGGGAGGAGGTGGGGTGTGCCAGCACCCAGGGGGAGGGTCAGGCTGTGACGAAGTGGGACTGTTCTTAATGTTTCCTCTGAATAATGTGGGGGTGCCTCAGTTTCCCCTAGGCAGTTCTTAAGTATCTAGGGGTGGGGTAAGGGTGTCTGATCATTGCAGAGCCCTAGAGGGCAGGTGTGTGCAGGGGTCTGGACACAGAGAATGGCCGACACCCTGTTTCCTGGCCACTAATGGCCTGGGCCCTTCCCCCCTGCAAGGTGAGAGCTAAAGGGTTGGAGAACAAAGGAATCCGGTGACCTCCTGGCCCGGGAAAGGGACAAAGCCCAGAGGAGGGGGGGCTGGAGGGAGTTTCAGTTTGGGGCTGGCTGGGACATGGAGTGAAGGGCAGACGGGGTTGTCTGGCTCACTGCCCCCCAAAATGGACCCAGCTGAGGGGTCCTGTTCTCTGCACCTACAAGCTCTGTTTTAGACCATGTTCCTGTCGTCTAATAAACCTTCTGTGTTACTGGCTGGCTGAGAGTCCCGTCTGACTGCGGAGTTGGGGGGCAGGACCCCCTGGCTTCCCCAAGACCCCACCTGGGCGGACTCGCTGGGGGAAGCGCACGGAGGGGCAGAGGAGGCTGAATGCTCCGAGGTCAGACCCAGGAAGGTGGAAGCCGGGTGAGCTGTGTGTCCTGCAGACAGGCTGCTCCCAGAGAGGAGACTTCCCCAGAGTCCTGCCTGGCTTCGTGGGGAGCAGTCCCAGAGCATCGGCCGGGGACTCCGTGACACAGGGGCCATACCAGCAGACAGGGGGAGTGGGTGGGGTTGGCAGGGCCATGCCAGCACCCAGGGGGAGGAGGCAGTGCAGGCGAGGCCATGATGGCATCTGGGAGGTCCTTGCCGATGGAGCCATGCCAGCGCAGGGGTGTTGCTTTGGTTTATGGCAGCCCCACCCCAGCAGACCCCCCTCCCCCCGGGTCTCCTGGCGCTGCCCAGGGAGCCTAGGTGGGTCAGCCCCGGTGCTGAGGAGCGGTACCCAGGGCTGGTGGGGGCAGTACCTGGAAGGCCAGCTGGCTGAGCTGTGCTATCCACCCGTCCCGCTGCTCGGCTGCCAGCATGTAGCTCTTCTCCATGGTGTTCAGGGAGAAGGCAGCCGTGCCCTTGGGGCAGCTGTGGCCGTCTGCGGGCCCCACAGAGACACAGTCTGCGAGCCGGATGACCCGGCGCTCACACCTCCGCAGGGATGCCTTCTCTGGACCAGAGCCGTCGTTCCGCACTTCGCATGTCTCCAGCCGGGCAATGCCACAGGGGCTGTTGGCAAAGAGCTGGGCCCACACCTTCCTCCAGGACTTCTGGGGGGCAGATAGGGCACGACTCACCCCAGGGGCTCCCAGCACAGCCCTATTTGCCCACAAAGCAATGCAAATGGCCCCTGGTGCCCACAGGAGGTGGCAGAGAACAGGGTGGGGCTGGCAGAGATGAGGGGCTGGAGGGGACTGCCAGAGGGCCACAAGTCCAGGCCTCCGCACCGGGGCAGGACTCAGTCAACTGGGCCCCCCCGATGGGTTTGTCCAAAATGGTCTTAAAACTCTCCCACGCCGGGAATACCACATCCTGGCCTGGCCACCTGGCCCAGCGCTGACCTACCTGGAGAGTCAGGCAGTTTCTCCTGCTTCCTACCCTCAGTCTGAAGCCCATTGCTCCTCACCCTGCCTCAGCAGATAGCACCCTTTAGAAAAGCCCTCCCCAGATTGGTGCCCCTCGGTTGCTTTTCTCTGAACTAAACACGCCCAGTTTTTTAAATCATTCCTCACAGGGCAGATTTTCTAAACCTTCCATGACGTTTGTTGCTCTGCTGCCTCTGGTCTCTCCAATTTGTCCACATCTTCCCTCGAGTGCGGCTCCCACAACTGGACACAGCGCTCCAGCCTCACGCGGCCCCGCCGAGTGGGACAGTCACCTCCTGTCTGTTGTTAATACACCCAGAGCGACAGCAGCCTTTTGCCCAGCTGCATCACACCGGGGACTCTCAGTCACCTTATGATCCCTGCTAGGCCTGTCCCTTTTCAGTCTATTATCACCGAGTCCCTTAATCCCCAGCTGGTAACTGCGCACGTGATTTTTCTGTCCTAAGTGAAGTAATCTGCAGGAGACAGAAGGGTTCGGGGAAGGCCCACTGGGCACGTGCCCTGCTGACATCTGGCGCCTTCCCAGACCCTAGGTGCCGGACGACGGCCCACTCCCGCAGACACCCTGATCTTACTCTGCATGAGGAGCCGATACTCCTCGGGCAGGTACCTGGAACCTCAGGGTCACGGTACCTGGAACCTCAGGGTCACGAGCACCAAGGGGCGGGATGTGAGGGAAGAGGCAATTCCACAGGCTTCCGAGCCTCAGCCGAGTGGCTAGCCAGGACAGCCACCCCCAGCACAGCCAGATTGGCTTCCCTGACCCAGGCGGGGCCATGCAGCGAGCCAGCGATGGGGTGGGATAGGCCCCAAGTCCTGATTCTGGGCTCCCTGCTGTACCCACTAGCTGCCCTCTCCAGAGCTACAACTTGGCCCTGGACTGAGCTGGGCTGCTGGGGCTGTTTTTAGCCCAGAGCTTGATGCAAATTAAGCCATTTTGAGCCATTTGTTTTCTCGATAGCTGCCCCACATCTGCTGCATGAGCCCAGGCCCCGGAGCCAGCAGCAGCCACATCCTCCCTGGGGAGGGTCTGCATCAGCCAGCACCTGGCCTGCCAGAGCACAGCAGGGGAGAGAGAGAGGGAGCACCCCCACCTCCAGGGGTGCGGGACAGGACAGTGTGGCAGCAGCTGGGTCCATGGGCCTGGCCCAGTAGAGTCTAAGGGATAGAGGCAGATGAGCCTGGCTCACAGCACCCACCAGGCCATAAATACCGGCCCAGCAGGGGAGCAGAGTGCTTTTTTCAAAGCGGGGAGGGGGGGAGAAGTGCACTACATATAAAACAAAACAGCAGGGGCCCCCCAGGGAGGAATTTGGTTCCCAGCCAAACTGTGTTTGCTCATTGTAATAGAATGAGCTGTCCCCAAAGCAGCCTTGCTTTTAATCATGCAAACCCTACACTTTTCTGGGGTGGGGAGGGGCTTAGCTCCTCCCCTCCCACGGGCGTCTATACCCATGCAAGCAGTTCCCATGTGCACACAGAGTCCCCCCCTGTTCCCAAAGGGGGGAATTTCCCCGCTCTTTGTTCAGCTCACGCATGTGGGGCACCCTACTGGGCACAGCTGGGGTGGGGGCAGAGAGCACAGCTGAGGGGCCCATCATCAGTTAGCACAGACAGGGGCCCAGCCAAAGCTGCCCAGTCAGGGCCCTGCCTCTGCCGTTACCTTCAAGGTGCTGCATGCTCTCAGAGCCGAAGGGCCAGGCTGGCAGTGCAGCGTTCCTGCAGCCCAAGGGACGTGCCCCAGCCTGTCCCAAACCTCCCCACAGTGCTCCATGGGGCAGGCGTATTCCTGGGACCTGCTTTCCCAGGCAACCAGGGAGCTCGCTGCATATTCCACAGCCCCAGCCCTCCCCCAGGGAGGGGCCAAGGACAAACCCCGCATGGGCCTGGGCAGCCAAGCACATGGCAATCCTACCACACAGCTCAGATGCTGCCTTGCAGAGAGGACTCCCGGCTCCCAAAGCCTGGAACAAGCTGTGCCCACAGTCCCCCCCGGTAGCCACTAGGCGCCCCCCCAAGGCCTGCTCTTACTCCGAGTCCCCAGTGCCTCAGCAGGGCCAAGGCACATTGGTGAAGCTGCCCAGGTGGGATCCTGCAGCCACTCATTGGAGAATGACAGGTTTCAGAGTAGCAGCCGTGTTAGTCTGTATTCGCAAAAAGAAAAGGAGGACTTGGGGCACCCTAGAGACGAACCCATTTATTTGAGCAGAAGCTTTCATGAGCTACAGCTCACTTCATTGGATGCATACCGTTTCCACGCTGTAGCTCACGAAAGCTTGTGCTCAAATAAATGGGTTCGTCTCTAAGGTGCCCCAAGTCCTCCTTTTCATTGGAGAATGAGACTTCTGGGGACCTGACCTGAAATCTGCCCCTGCGCCCAGCATGACCCACCTGCCCCAGCCTCAGACAGCAGTCAGCACCAAGCCCCCAGGAACCCACGGCAGCAGCCAACCTTTCCCCAGAGACAGCGGAAAGGGGCAGAGGGCAAGGTGACCCCTTTGTCTCCCGCCAGCTCTATCTCCCAGAGTTCCCTGCAGCAATCACAACCCCCAGTTCTGTTGGCATAGAGGCAGGGGCCCCAAGCCTCCCCCCGTAGACAGTGCCGCACTCCCCCCAGCACATAGCAAGGGGGACTCCTGTTCAAACTCCCCACCCCCCAAAGCTCTGGATTTTGTTTTAAGTCTGTTTATTAACATTTCAGTGAGAGTTACTCTCATGACGCAGCTTATAGCTGGGACAGGTGTGGCTCAGGAACACAGGGAGGCTGCCTGGGTGAGCCCCCCTTCCCCAAAGCCTGGAGTTGGTGCCTTGGGGCCAGCAGGGGTTGAGATCAGACACAGCATGGTCAGTCGTGGGGCGGTGACCAGGGGCCACTCCCGCTCCGCTTTGTTGGGCCTGAAGACCAACCCCCCCTCTCCCTGCACTCCTGTGCCCAGCACTCTCAGCCCCTCCCCCCTTTACCTTTCCAAATTTCAAGTGCTGGACATAGAGGATCCCGGCCTTCATAGGGGTCTCCATGGGCCCAGCCGGCCTGGCAGGGCTGTGTGCAGAAGGCAGCGGTGCCGGTAATGGGGAGTGGTGGCCGCTGAAGCGGAGTGAGTGCGCGGGGAGACTTCCTTTCTCGCTAACTTCCCCTTTGTGGTGTGTGGGGTGAGGGGCAGGCAGCGCGGGGGAGCAACGTCCCCCAGGGAGACCAGTGGGGCAGAATGAGCATGGCAGAGGCAGCAGCAGCCTGCACGGGGCTGCTGAGTTCAGACAGTCAAGCCTGGAGACGGTGCCCTGCTGCCCAGCTCCTCCGCAGCCAGCGACGCTGGCCCGCAGCCGAGGGTCAGCCATGCCTCAGGGCTCTTCCAGCCCAGAGCAACTTGCGTGCGGTGAGCCACAACCCAGGGGCCAGCACAGCCGCCCCTGAGAACCCCAGGCCTTCGGCAGATGCCACTGGCCCCAGCCCTGCGTGACGGCTCCTGCTTCTGGCCATGGCTCCCCTGTGCTCAGGGGCTTTGCAGAGCCTGCGAGAGGCTGGGGGCCTGGCTTGCCCGATGCCTGCATGTTGACACTGGCTGACGTAACGGGCCATTGCAGCATAGCGCCGATGCTTCCTCTCCGAGCAGGGAACCACGGGGCCTGGTCGAGCAGCACTGACCACGGCCCACACAACAGGCACCTTACGACATGCCTGAGCCCAGAGGGAAGGGACATGGACCTGCCTGCAGAAGGGCCCGGCCCCACATGCTCTTGGGAAGAAGCGGGGCCAGCTGCCAAGGCTGCTGGGCTCCGGGGAACTCTCCTGCCTGGCCCAGCAAGCACACACCACAGGCAGCAGCGCAGCCCAGGGGCCTGGGCTAGAAGTCCATGGAGCTGTGTGCCAGATAGTCCTTGCGGCCGATGTTGCTGACTTGCTTGGTCTGCATGGCTTCCAGCTTGGGGCAGTCGGTGATGCGGTGGCCCAGGCCCCCACAGAAGGCACAGCCCCTCTCGCCTGCAATGGAGGGAGTGGGGTCAGAGGCAGCTTGCCGGGGGTGGGGTGGGGACAGGACAGTGCGCACACCCTACAGCACAGGGGGAAGCAGCCCCAGCCCAGCACCCCGCAGAGGCAGGGCCAGCCCATCACATGGGGAGCTGAGCCCCAGACCATGGCAGAGCAGGGAACTGACCTCTCGAGACCCAGACTAGCGCTCCAACCAATGGGAGCGCTGGGGCCTGGACGTGCCAGCTCTGGGTGCTTTGCCCAAGGAGTGGCCTGCCAGCCGGGCAGTGCAGGGTCCAGAGTGCCCTGCCCCCTCCACGTCTGCACCACCACACAGGCAACAGTGCTGTGGCAACCCCCGCCCCGCCCCCTAGGGCAGCTGGGAGCCGCCGACCCCTCACCTCCAATATCCAGCATGGTCTCGTCCCCACAGTGCAGCACCTGCAGCACCGGGGGCACCTTCTGCTTGGCCTCCAACAGCAGCGCCTTCAAGTCCATGAGCACGGACTCATCTGGGGCAGAGAGGAACATGAGAACCGAGCCTGGCCTGGGGCAGCTCTGCCCCGCCACAAGGGCCCACTGGATCTGGGCACCAGCAGGACAGAGGGCAATGCTCAATCCAGGGGAGACTGCGCGCGGGGAGGGGTGGGGGGGGGGAAATCAGCCAAGCTGGGGACAAAAGGAGTCCATAAGCTCCAGCAAACCCCACAGGGCAGCACAGCACCCCCAAGCACGGGCATCGGGGCAGCACTGTCTGAGGGACAGCAGCCCGCTCTACTGAGTCACCCGCCCTGCTCCTTGGGCCGCACAGGCCTGTGCTAGGGAGCACCCCCTAGGGAGCCCCAGCCCACTCCCTGCAACACGTGGGTGTTCCTTGAGGTTTCCCCTTTAAATGTTGAGCCCAGCCCAGGGGCAAGCTCCCAGGGCAGGGCAGAGACACTCCTGGCCCAGCTCAGCCCAATTGCTGCGAACCCAAAGGGCACAGCAGCCAGCCACAGCCCCGCTCCCGCGTGCCCCTCACCACAGGCCTTGTTGATGAAGGTGGTGGCGATGCCGGTGTTCCCCGAGCGGCCCGTACGCCCAATTCGGTGAACTATGGGAAGAAACAGAGAGTCAGACCCAGGCCACTGACCGCAGAGAGCCAGACAGGAATCCAGCTGAGCACCCAGACGGGGGACCTCCCCACCCCAAGGATGCTGCCTTTCCCAAGGAGACCAGCCACTGCAGGGACATGCCCAAGGACCTGTCCTCCCATCCCTGAACCGAGCAAAGCAATCTGCCTGGTTCACCCTCTGTAAGGCCTTTGTCTGTAGCCATATTGCAAGGCCTAAAGCCTAAGGCCTTTGTCTGCAGCCAGGTTAAAAAAAACCAGCAGCCATGAGCTAAGAAGCAGGAGTCACATCCTCACCTTTCCATCTAAATTACATTAAAGCAATGTCATATCAGGCTGTTAAAATGGAGATCCTGGCCTAATAGTACCCCCATCACCAGATAAAGAAACAGATCTTAAGATGGTTAAAGAAAACTTAGTTTGATGGCACCTGCCTGGGAAGAAATCACTTCTCAATAGTTGGGATTGTGAAATCCTCATTTCTTCTTGTTTTATCATTATGGTACCCACTTCCCTATTGTTTGTCTGTATGATCTCTGTCTGGTTCTTCGATTGTTTCTGTCTGCTACGTAATTAATTTTGCTCTGTGTAAATTAATTTAGGTGGTGGTGTAGGATTGGTTAGAGATTTTTGTTTCAACTTGTTAGGATGGGTTAGTAAAATGATTGATTACGGTACAGCTAAGCAGGACTCAAGTTTCACTATATAAACTGGGGTCCAAAAGGACGTTCTTTGGGAACAACTCCAGGACACAGCCCCAAAGATCAGAGCTGCCAGACCTCAACACTGCCAATGACACCGTGCAGAAACTGGAGTCCCCGAGATGGACCTGATCCTGACTGGCCATCAAGAAAAGTTCTTCTGTCTTATTGGGAGTGGCAAGCACTGTATGTGTAGCATGTGCATTGTTTTGGTGATTGTTAATAAATAGAGGTTAAGTAGGATATTACTGTGAGAGGCTCTTTCACTGGTAAAAGACCCTGTAAACCCGCAAAGATTAAGCCCTGAGTCCACAGGGAAAGGGTGTTTGCACAGAGCCCACGGAGGGGTAGAGCCCTGGGCCTTTCACCTGGAGCCCTAGGAACTGCGTAAAGGTGAGTGCCCTAGAACGTGCGAACAACAGAGAATTTTGTGTGGGTAACACCTCTGCCTGGCTCACCTCCCTCCCCCTGTGCTTGGGCCCTCTGCCCTACCGTAGTTCTCGATTTCCTCTGGCATGTCGTAGTTGATGACGTGCTGGATGGCTGGGAAATCCAAGCCCTTGGAGGCTACGTCGGTAGCAACCAGGACGTCCTTCTTCCCGTCCCGGAAGGCCTCGATGGCCTTCGTCCGCTCCTCCTGGTCTGGAAGGGCCCAGCACAGAGGGTTAGCGCGGGCCCCGCTCTGCCAGCTCAGGGCCCCGCCCCCAAACCCACCTCAGACTAGGGGCATGGACAGAGCGATATGCCAAGTACGAGTCAGACCTCTCCCCCATGCGCCAGAGGCAGGGGGCCCTGTGGGTCAGACACCACAGCAGGGTTCCATGGGGGCCCGAGGGAGCAGCCGGTCCGAGGAAGGCTCACTCATCTCCTCGGTCCTGCCCCTGGTGTGGTGACCTGCCTGGCCGTGGCCCATGGCACATGGAGCTGAGTCCAGAACAGCTCGTCACGTTAGGGAGCTGGGGCTAGATTCACAGCAGAGGCCTGGGAACTGGACTGCCTAGTCCCTTCGCAGCACTGCCCTACAGGCATTCCTCAGAAGCCATCTCAGGGCCCCCAGCCCCTGCTTTCGTTCAAAGCCACGACGTTCCTACCCGTAGGGCTGCGGCAACCGGCTGGGGAGTGCGAACAGAGGCTAGGCTAGTGCAGCACTACCTGCTTGAATCTGCCGAGAGCCAGAACTGCTAGCTTTGAGCAGGGATCCCGCCCTGGCCTCTCACACCCTGGGCTGCACCATTTCTGCTGCCAGGGGCCCTAATGCTTTGCCTTCCTACCCTGCCCTGCCCGGCCCCGCCTGCATCTGCCTCCTGCTCCCCAGCTCCCATTGGGGCAGTCAGCTGGATTCCATGGCACGCTCCCAGCATGAGGCCATGGAGTGAGCTGTCACGGGGGCAGGGTGCCCAAGCAAGCACCAAGGTTGCAGGCTGGCAAGCGGCCCGGCCTGGAGACCAGCGCAGCTACAAGGCCCAGAGAGCTAGCTATGAGCTCTCCCGTAGCTGGTGCACATGTGGGTAGGGTGAGCTGGGCCCCTGGAGAACACAACTAAATGATGGGCAAGATGGTAAAACGATCTATGAGAAAGCAGCACTGGGAGAGAGGCTGAGCTCTGACCCCACCCATGCAAGCATCTGATAGGAAGGCATTGCACTGAGAAAAGTGGTTCTCGTTGTCAAGCTGGCGCTGCAGAGTTTCAGAGAAGGGACCATTGGGTCATCCGGTCTGTCCTCCTGCGTCTCACAGGCCAGAGCATTTCACAGACACCCCTCTATGGAGCCCAAGGACGAGTGCCCCGAGGACTGAAATGCTTTAAGACTCAGCCGTGAGCCACAGGCGGAGAAGAGGAGACAGCAAGGTGTCAGCAGTGCCCGAGGTCCCTGCAGCAGCTGGGAAGTGACTTGGTGAGATTTGCCCATGTGGCAGGCCATGCCCCACGCTGCAGAGGAAGGTGAAGAAGCCCTTGGTTCCCAGCCAATCTGACCTAGAGAGAAATTCCTTCTCGAGCTCAAACCCTAAGCATGTCAGCAAGACCCACTGGTCTGGTCCACCTGGGAGGTGCCCTGTCTCCAGCTGTGGCCGATCCCTGGCACCCCAGAGGAAGGTGAGAAAACCCCAGAGTACATCTAGGCAATTGTGCACCAACAGAAAAATCTCCTGTCTGACCCCCACAGGTGACCAGTTGAAGCCCTGAAACCTGAGACTGGATTAGTCATTATCTTAATGCAGAGGGGCAGGGTTCTGAGCACGCTGAGGGCCATGCATGCAACTCACCCCCTTCATGGGCCATGGGGAGGTATGGGAACAGGGCAAGTCAGAGTCCATGGCCAGAAAGGACCGCGATGACCATACAACCCAACACTCCAGGCATGCAGGCTGGGGGATTTCCCCCAGAAGCTGGATTCAAGCGTAACTTTTTAAGCCAACTAGTCTCACCTTCCAGACTCCAAGCAATGGTGAGTCCATCAGCTCCCCTGCTAAAAGCCCTATGACCCTCACAGCTGGGAAATGACTTCCTCTGACAAGGCCTGATCTAACTGTCTCTGGGGGAGCCTGTGCCAGCCAG